GAACTCACCTGGATCAGCCACAGCCTGCTTCTTTTTGCTGTTTGAGACAATCTCATTTTCATTCATCATTCGTACATCCTGATCTCCCACATGATTGCTGAAAAGATTAAAATCAGTACAATAGCCAAAATAATCAACATTGAGAGAAGTTATGAGAGTCGTGGATAAGGTTACCAAGTAAGTTATTTAGGTCCTGGAGGCTAAACGAAGCGATGAAGCACAGCCACTTTATATGAGACTATCTAGAAAGGAAAGGCATCCTGTCTGCATCCACCTGAAGGATTTCTTGCCAGTTTTAATTAGTGGCACTCATTCAGGCACACATTCAAATATAAATATCGTATTCACTCTACAATTTTCTTGCCTCCCTACACAGCTTGAGCCACATTAACCAAAGTGAGATTTTAAATCAGTAATGAGCAAAGAGGGTATAAAAATCCTTATATAGAACTTAACACTGTTTTGTAATGTTGACACAGAATTATTCGAAAATTTCCTGAACTAAACAAAATTCATTTACTGTGACATTAAAGAAAATATCACTAATAACATCTCCCTTTCACACAGACAAAACCAAAACATCCAGGCCTTTGGAAAAAAAAAAAAAAAGTGTATTTTTCTTTTCTCTACAAATACTGCACAAAACAGGTTTCTATTTTTGAAGGAAAATGTAACGTGTCTCAAACTGCCAGAGTGAAACAGGGGAACCGATCCTGAGGTAAATCAGAACTTAGGATATTGACAATAACATCAGACTCAAGTTCAGGGTTCATAAAATACTGAACGGTGACATGTGAAAGAATAGGCCAGAATCACCAGTAACAATATATAAAAGCTCAAGAGTGTTTTTTAAATGAAGGGATATTATCCAGCATGCAGCAAGGGATTTGTCTTCTATTGCTGAAGCACCCTGTATTTTAGTTGGGTAGTAGGTGGAAAAAGGGAACAGAAGATTGCAAAAAAGGCTAAGAAGAAAGATCAAGAAAGCTCCAGCACAAGAAGTCTCGAAGAGAAGAAACTCAGCATGTTCTTGGCTGGAAAACAGATCATGCAGTTTGCATGACCCAAAAAGTACACCCCTCTTGAAACTAAATCAAACAATATATGTCTTATGAACATGTGCAAAGCGAGTTACATGAAAAAGATCTATGATTACAGCTGGTGTTTCTCTGCTTCCAATAAAATAACTTTACTCATAGAAAGGCGTTAACCTGAATAAAGTATAGCTTCATTTCTCCTCCTCCTTTCTATATCCCACTAAAAATTTTCTCAAAACTTGCATTTCCTCCAGACATTTTCATTTCAGTAACTTTTTCACTTGAAAAATTGTTTACCTTCAAATTTTACCGTGACAACACAGTCACTTGTACAAGAACACGAGTCTAACACAACACCCCCAAACAAGAATAACTTATTTCAGCATCTGACGGTACCAGTGGCCAACAGCCGATGCTTTAGAGAACCACAGGAAAACAAACCCAGTGGGCAAATGAGAACTTCTATTCTTAATCAGGAAAACTTACGTTCCTTGCACTTATTTCTAAATATTTGAATATTCTTCTGAACGAGTCGTGTCATTTCTGAATGCAAAACTGTCGTCTTTTTTCCTAGTGATATATGTGCAAGACATTCTATTTGTTAGTGACAAATGTATAAGAAAGTGCTTATTTCTATAAGCTTTCGATTTTTTCACTTTTCAATCCCATTTAAAATAAATTATTCTTTCAATCTTTATTTTGCTTGCTAGGGACTGCTTTTTAGACCCTATCAATCCTGACCTTCTAAATATAAGTGCATTTTTCATCTTTTCTGTGAGATTGCCAACTTAGTGGTTTCAAAGTGTCATTCCTCTGAATGCAATTCATTTCTCATTTGAGAAGTTTGTTATTTTAGAATGTTTATAAAACAGTAGAATTTCAGTTTCTTAATTAGCATTTGTGCCAAATAAGAGGACTTTCTTTTCTTTACTTTTGATGTTTGGTCTTTTCGTTAACTTTTTATTTATTTTATTCTCCATGTAATATCATTAGGATTTATAACTTCTTCTCTAAGGAAGCCTAACTTCTTTCTTTTGTGTTTATTCCTATAGGCTTTCATGAAAATGTATGTAAATAGGAATCATGAACTCCAGTAAGAGCTAAAAAATGCTAAGAAATAAAGCCAGTAATTCGGTCCTAGTATCTAAAAACCTATTGGTTATTTCCCATTAAGTTATTACTATTACTGGTTATTATTATTGTAAGTTATTATTATTATTGGTTATTTCCCATGAAGTTGAGTATGCTTTGGAGGGGAATTTTCTATAGCAATATACATATTGCTGATATTAGTCACATAAAAACATTTTTTGAAAACAAGGTTCTTCCTTCCAGTCAAGATCTACTCACATACCTAATAACAGTTCTCTTCTCCTGATGGCAAATCTTCTCATCATCTGTAAAGAGAATGGTATGATACCGGACCACTGGATCACAGGTTGGTAGGATGCCTGATACTACATGGTTCACCATATCCAGAATCCCATTGTACACAAGCAAGTCATCCACCAGAAGCTACAGATATTTAAGAAACAAACAAACAAAACGGAGAAATCAGGAATTGCTTTCAGCAATTGTCTCTAGCAATTAACTAGAAATCATTTTGCCTATTTGTTTCACAACTCTGGTCATTAGTTGAGCTTTTGTTCCTTAAAACTTCCATTTCTCTCTATTCACTGCTGGGTTTTGACATTTTTTTTCCAAGTTTTTGTCTTCTCACTGATGTTTCTAATGCAGCTTTCAAGTAGATAATTAAAAATGTATTTCATGTTTTACATAATTGCCATTCTATTAACTGGAGTGAATCACTCTTAAATCTAGGAATTAATGAATCTCACTTCACTTCAGCTATCTAAAACTTGGGCTTGTAGTTTAAACTAGTCTTCCAGGCCTGCTCTATAGTCAGTGGAAAAAGGGAAGCATTATCTTATCTCAGGACAATTATCTGAGAAAAAAATCAGATAAAGTATTCTTTCCCAGACAAGAAAGGGAGGACAGATGACTGGCACAGATTAGTCATTTTAATAGTAAATGCAGAGTTAAATGAGATGAATCCCATCCTTTGAGATTATATGGAATCACACTTCAGTAAACTGTGAAAATAAGTACAGAAATCAAGCAAGCTGACTCACCAGAACATATAAAATGCATACAAAAATTACTTACACCAAATTCTTTCACACCTCTCTGAGGCGTTTTGGCATAATTCCATAACTTGATCATTGACACAGTAGTAGGTACATCAAAAATGACATATACCCTATTCACCTGTAAAAAAGCATTAATTTATATTCAACAGCACAAATTCCCCAGAGAAATGAAATTCTCATGCATATTCCATAAAAAAAGGTCTGTATTTAAAGAGATATAGCAAAGGCCAGATAACTGATGCTAAAGATTTCAGTTCAGCTATCACCTCTATTGATAATTCACAGATGTTGTCTCTACCCCAGAGCTGCAATCTCAAATGCAGTGTAACTCATCAGAAGATACCATCTACACCTGAGCTTGTCATCCTGGACTGGTAGTCAACTGGAGGAGGAGTAAAGAAACACTTTTAATGAGTGTTTCATCAACCAAATACAGACACGTGCTTCAGGATAAGACAAGCTGGTGTCCATTCCATTCCATTCCATTCCACCAAATATGAATGGAATCCACCTTACTACTTGCAAGACCAGATTTTCTCCTATATTCCCTGACTTTGTAAGGTCTTGCAGAAATTTTGCAATTTTTGTGTGAGGTACACTAATAGCAATGTAGAGACAGTTCTCCAGATGCTTGCTAAACAATTATTGCTTGAGGTATTGTTCATTTTACTTTCAGTGCCATTAATGTCAAGATGTTAAGAACAAAGATTAGGCTGCAGGAAACCAATCTTGCCTGTTACAGTTAATTCTATGCTATTCTTTTCACAAGCTATTATATCAGCTTTGGGCCAACATATTTTAAGCTTCATCTCTAGCATCCTGTGAATTTTTAATCCTTTGCTGCACTGGAGAAGATATCATTAGTTGTATTAAATCATTATGCATTTTTTTTTACTGAAGAAAGAAAGGCAAATGTGATCAATAGAAATGTTCATATCTGTGATTTTCCAGAAGACAATTTGGGCATAGTCTCCAATAGCAATTGTTAATCTCACAGCAAATGATAAACTTGATGGAAAATACATTCAAACAAATAAACAAAATGAGAATCAGTAACAGGGGAACAATGAATTCAAATTGTACTTACATTAGTAATAAATTCGCAAAAGGCAAAACCACTTTTAGAATGAGAAAGGAAAAGAAAGGCTATTATATAAAATTTCCTTAAAGCTTTCGAACCTTCCAACATAGCAAGGAGTTAATTCAGCTTTCTAGGCAACTGGCATGTTTCAAAGCAGCCTAGCGATGAGGATGTAAGTACACACAAGCTTTGGTTCAGCATCCCAGCTACAGGGGATGCTCAAGACTAGGCTGATGGCTTAATCCATTTGCACTTCCTGGCTGCACAACCATACCATGGAAGATGGAGGAGAGAAGTACTGTGTGGGTCTTGAAAAGGTGTAATTTGCTGCAGTTAAGGACAGAAAGCGCCATTAAATTGCTTACTCTTCCCTCCTGCACATCACACTTTATCAATTTACCCTTTTAATACTGATATCTTATGTTATTCTATAAAACAACATAATATCAGACATAACAACACAAAATCTGTATGCACCTGTGCTAGAACTCCAAGTACTGTTATTTTCCTTTTGCCAAAATCATAGAATCATAGAATGGTTAGGGCTGGAAGGGACCTTCAAAGGTCATCTAGTCCAACCTCCCTGCAAGGAATAGCAGCAATGAAATAGCCTCTCCAAGCATGTCTTTTATAAGGACATGAGCAAACTCAGATGGTTGTCAAATCAATCATTTACAATGTTATAATGGATATCTGAGCATCCCATCAAATTAATTACTAGGATTCAAGATGTAGGATCTACACAGTAGGAGCCTCAAGCATTACACAGGCCAGTATTCCCAAGTATACTTAAAAGCTTTACTTTAATTATACCCACTGCATTACAACATATAAGGATATATGAAGTATTCTCAAAATTGACTTATTTGTTTTTAATCTTCTAATTAATAACTGTAACATATGGAGTAAGGATTTTTCCAACAAAGTAAGCTACAACATATCACACGTCAGGTTTACATTTTGTTACTTTTGAAATCCATCCTCTTCTAAGAAATAAATACTTCTTGATGATGTCCATAACAGGCCCATAAAAAATGTTCTCTCCCAAAACAAAGTCAGAACTCACCTAAGTTTATCTATTTTTCCTATTTAGATAGTTGATGCCACAAATTTGAACATGGGGCTTCTAGAAGGGCTGAATCACTTGGGGCCTTAGGACATGAAATACTGCCGTCTCTCATTTATGAATTTGAATTCAACACAGATAACGAGATCAAAAAAATTCTCACTGCTGGAACATTCACTGCTTTTTGTAAAAACAAATTTAAGATCCCAGTCCGCTCCCATTTGAAAGCTGTTTTTTGCCCAAAACACGCGTATTAAACTCTTTTGTCATATCTTCATCACAGTAACTGAAAAAACGTCTGTGCTGGCCTTGGAAATTCTTCTGCTGTTGCACCATGGAGACAGAAGGAAATTAGAAACCTGGGAAATCTATACTGCAGCTATCTGTGCAGTGAAGAGAAACTGGAATAGAAAGAACTTCTTCTAAAAGGCAGTGATTTAGCATCATTTACTAATATCAAATTTACCTAAAAATTATGTGTGCTTCCCCTTTCCTTTATGCTTCTAGCTACATCACTAAAATGGAACGAAAAAGGAAAATGTACCAAACCAGGAAGAACTGGTGCAAGCCACATGTGTCTGCCATCAGTTGTGTCGTTTACTCTGTCAATTAGTTTGTCTGGAGTTCGGATGTCTCCAGATACATCTTCTAAAATGTTGACGCTGTCTGGAAAAGCAGCAATATCTGAAAAAAACTTTAAGCATAAATAACCAAAAAGTATATTTCAGTAACACCATATTCAAAAGTTCATGCTTGCTCTTCCAGATTCCATGAGCAAGTATTTGCCACTACAGCAGTAAAACTTAAAAATACTCCGAGTACTTCACATAGGTAGGCTGAGGAACTTGAGGGCACATTTTTAAAAGCAGGACAACCCTTATAGATTCTGGAATTCAAAATTATTTTTAAAGTAGGAATAAAATAACTAGCTGCATTTAATTTATTTTCAAATATGTATTTAGGACTTCATTGACAAAGTTCCCTTATGAAGAATAGGCACTTCCCAGCTTTTTTGTGACAAAGTCCCATTTTTTTAGTATGAACTTAAGAAAACGCCTCATATGAAACATATCTTAAGAAAAGTGTCCTTGCAGGAGGTAGCCATCAGTCAGACAGGGTTTTGCTTGAGTTCCTCAAGGTTTGTGATAAAAATCAGTAACTGTCTAATAAGACCTTCTTTCAGTTCTTTGAGAGGGAAAGATTAAAACTTGAACAGGCTTTCTAGGTAACCAGATCTTCTCTGCAAAAGAACATTTATGTTAAAAACATCTGCATGTTAAAGACATGCAAAGAAATGTGGATGGATGGCACTGTCCTCAGAATTATAAATCCCTAGCAATCCAGTTTGAGGGACATTAATTTCCCCTTGTCCTGCTTTCTAAAATGCCTGAGTCTTAGTATTTATAGAAAATTTAAGGAATAACACAGCAATGCCTCAACTGTTCAAGAAAAGCTTGCTCCAGACTCAGGACAGAATTATCACATTTAGTACTGCACTAAGACAAATAGGCTCTTTCTGGGATCCTAATATATCCAAGCAACCCCACTGCACAGGCGGAAACGGGCGATGATTCAAAGCGAGCCGAGGTCTCTTTACCTGGCATTGTATTGCACTGTAAAGACATATGGATTAAAAACAATTTGGCACCACTTTTCAATTTCAAAATGCTTCTTCCCCATCACAGATGTTTCAAGTTCATCATGTATCATACAAGATACAAATGAAAAAAGCACTCAGGAAAAAGCCCTTATTACCTTTTTCATTGTATCCTCTATTTATTAGGCAATGAGGATCCTTAGAGACATACAATTCATGCAGCATCCATGCTTTTTATCCTTTCTAGTTGGCTAAGAAATTGTTTCTTCCATGTGACTGAACTACATGAATTATATGTTGGGGTATGAAGCTTTCAGCTCTTGAGAGACTTTAGCTGATACAGAGCATTAAAGTGTAACCTTGATGTCTATGAATCTTTCCAACATGTCCTTCATTCCCTCTGTTGGTTACCCAGGGAACACTGAATCAAATTCAAAGTCTCAGCCCTTATCTTCACAACTGGATCAAGTGTCTAGAATGGCCTAAAGCTCCAGAACAAGAGTTATAAAAAATTTCTTTCTTGTGGCACAATGAAAGATTCCACAACAAAGAACTGTGCTTAACCTTTTCTTACAAATTTATAGCTCATCAAACTTTCAGGTCCTTCCATACCACAGAAAAAATAAACATTGATAGCAAAAAATACCATATCCTTCTTAAGCCTTCCCTTCTCTAACCTTGTCCTGCTTTGCTGGTGCATCCTATTCAGAGAAGAAATGTTCTGAAAGTATATAGAGTACATTAAACCATATGGAAGCAAGTATCATCATGCAAATATAGAGAAATGCAAGCAGAGTAATCACATGAGATAAACTGGCAATTTGGAAGAAGCAGCAAGTGATGCCATATGATAATTTGCCAGGGAGCAAACTGTGTATGTGAAAGGAATAGAGGTGCTTGATCTGTAGAAGGATACTGTTTTCAGTTAGTAAGATTTGCTCTCCATGTTCATTGAACAACTCAAGTCCATTCAAACCAATGTAGTATGGATCACCCCAGCTTGTCAGAAGCTGAAACTGGAAAATAACTAAAAAGCAAAAAGCTATTAAGGAAAATTTTGATACTGGTACTTTGTCCTAAGAGACTATTTAATCTGCAGTTTCAAAATTTATTGTGCAGCCCACATCTCAATGTCAGACACTCTTATTTGCAGTTTAGAAGAGTGAAAAAACATCTGGTTTTCACTTCTGACTTCACTGTGTCTTAAACCTGCCTGAGTAAGCTATTTTCTTTTAAGACAAGAAGTCTACTTTTTCTATCACTGATAATACACACACAAATGAACATCTGCAGGTGGCACAACTAGGCAGAAGTCGATACGTGTTTACACATATACATGTTCACATATATGTATGTTCACATATGTTCTTCCATCGGATGAAGAACTACTGAATTCTTTTAGTCCGTGTCTTTCCTTCATGCACATGGCAACTTATCAACGCCACAGCTCCTCTTTGGAGCCTTTACTGCCTTCCTATATTTCCTGAATGTGCCTTTGCCTGGTTTTGAACTATGTGGGTGATAACTGGCCAGCAAATATACCCCTAAACTGAATGGCAGAAAATGTAACGACGGAGTCTGCGCGGTCTGTTTCTCTAATCGAGCACTCATTTGTTCTCTTTGCTCTACCCGGACACTGATTTTCATGACACCAGCAGTAACGTAGTACTGCTGAGACCTCGTTGCCTCCTAACTTGGTTAGAATTGCCAAATGGATTTAAAAGGGCCGTCAAACAGCTGGATAGCATGACAGTAAGTATTATCACAAAAGGCTGTGCTCATCCAGGAAATCTTAAGCTTAAAAAGCCACAAACATTAAGAAAAATGGCAAAAATATTACACAGTTCTGGCCAACCTTAATAAAGATATGAGACAAATATTCAAAGATATGCAAAAATACAAAGACTACTTCTAGCTTTGATAGGCTGTCTGGATACTGTGCTAATGGACCTCTAGCTCCAGCTTGGATGGACTATAAAAGGCAGGAGAAAAAGATACCAGAGTATCTGAAAACAGGTCACACATTCATATATTACTTTCCAATTATTTATTCTTAATTCATACTTAATGGAAGCCTTTCTCATATTCTTGGTATCTTGTTAATTTCTTAAAGCACCAGAAATTGTTGGATTCAAAAAGGTCAGGACTCACAACCGTAGCATATAGTTCTAAAACATTCTATATGACAAGTAAGAGAACGACAGAGAAGGATACAACCACATGGCATTAACGGTGCTTCATAGTCCATACTAGCTTGTTCCATTCTCTTTGAACCAGTCCTGCCAAAAAACACAAGATAAAATAGTTTCTTTATGTAACCTGGCCTCATCCAGAAAAGAAGAGAACAAACCCAAACCCAAAGAACTAAGCCTTCACAAACACTACCTGCACACACCCACTCCTGCCCCGCCTGTGATTATGGACTAGATTGTCCTCTGATCTCCATAAAATCTGATTAACAGTATCTAGTTAAAACCCAATGAAACATTTTGCTCTAAGTGCTTCATATTTTCATCCAGGTGCCTCATACAATCGGTTTCAACAGAGAATATGAAAGAATACTAAACAACTAAGAGAAATTGTATGATTCAGATAGCAAAAACATCCTACTTTACCTCCTTTGTACTTTATTAATCAGCTGGGGCTGCAGATAGTCAAGAAAGAGAATTTCTTGGGCAAAGTCAAAATGACAGTTGCCTGGTCCCTTTCGGATCAGAAAGCCGTTTGGTGGGGAGATGCTGCGACCATCTAGCAACACGTGGACTACCTTAGCCTTGTTTAAAATAACGTAAATAACAAGACATGACATATTATGACATTACACAAAACAGATCCAAAACAATTGCATTCACTTCAGAGGCTGAAATAATGTCAATAATTTTGTTATATTTATTTCATTCCTCTACAGTAGGAATCCTTTGCGAAAAGAAAGCATACACCAGCAGATACCAGTTGCAAACCATTTTGTGTAATTCAGAGCATCATAGTTGACATTGAGGGGGATGAGACAGGTGAGGATTTGGGGTAAAAAAGAAAAAAAGTATTGAAGAGATCCTGTAATTACTACATCTTGCTATATCTCAGCAAACTGAAGCTTCCTCTCTTCACTGAAAGGGTCGCCCAGCGCTGGAACAGGCTGCACAGCAAAGTGGTGGAGTCACCGTCCCTGGAGGTAGATGTAGTGCTTAGGGACATGGCTTAGTGGTGGACTTAGCAGTGATAGCTTAATGGTTGGGCTCTGTGACCTTAAAGGTCTTTTCCAACCTAAATGATTCTGAGATTCCTGAGCCTGTAGCAGTACATATACACATCAACAGAATGGAGAGACGGCTTCCAAGTCAGCACATGCCACAAAGGCGATTTGAGGAGACAGTTAGAGTCATCATGCACCTGAAGGCACTGCTGGATCGGGCTGATTGCTCAGCTCTGGCTGAAGCTAGCATTTAAGGAATCACACAGCCTGGCACTCTCTCTCAAGCAGACTTTTTGTCTCTGTTGTGTTTATAGACAGCTGTATTTCATCTTTGTGGCAGGTGGCACCTGGACTTTTTCAGGATCATGCAAACTCGTCTACCAAGCACTGCTGTATGTCACCTAAAGGCATATGAATAAAGAAGAGATGCCCTTACGAGGCAGAAAGAACTGAGCCTTGTCCACATCACAGATGCCTGCACGTTTTACACAATCTCTGAAGATTAAACTAAATAATTCAGGCATACTCATTCAGACGATGCAGGAGTCCTGGCCCCTTCACCCTGCCCTGTTTAGCACCAGCTGGTGTTGCATGCATGATCCCAGTCACAGAAAATTCAATCATGCAGCAAGAATTATTACAGCATCTTGCCTTGTAATGTGTTAAATACAACTTAAGGTTAGTTGCAAGCACTGAATCTTTCACCAACTGCCGGTTAAGGAAGGAATAATACCGGTAAAATCTAACAAGATGGCCTTATAACTGGCACTATGATTAAAGCTTGCTGATTAATGGACTGAACTAAAATAGATTCATTTAGTTAACAAAAGACTTAATTTAGTCTAAAGGTAATGGCAGTCAGTTTTCTAATCTTTGGATTTTATACTGACTGATGTATATACGATAATTTGAGGTGAACTTAGTGTTGTGTGCAAATATTTTATTTTATTATTAGGCTTTCTATTAGAAATATATATGCAATATTTACAGTTAAAATTCCTATTTCAGGTGTCTATCTGAGAAGAACTTAAAAACATTCAGAGTTTTCTGTAAAGCCCATATATTATCAGTGACTTGATTTTCGTAACAGTTTTAACATTTTTTCCATTTCTAAACAATTTTTTATTCAATTACCATTTTAGTAAGTTACACATGCAGTATCCCAAAAGCAAATAATTTTCAGGACAATTTTTTTCTTTTTTTGCACAAACATTTCTTGATTTGAAAACCTTGGGTATTGTACTAGACTAGAGGAGGTGTTCAGTTCATTTCCAAATAGTACAAAGATTAATTAGGAGGGAATGTTTGTACGAGTACCAAGTATGGAGAAATAACTATTTCTGGTTTCATCTTTAATACGCTTGGGAGCAAAGAAAGGAAATATCCTTTTCATATCAGAAGCTCTTCTGCTTCCAGCTGAATTAGTCTGCCAGGCTAAGGAAAGGAAGTGAAAAATCCACTGAAATACATTCTAGTTTAGGAAACACGAATTGAATGGGAAGTCTAGAGACTTAGAGATTAAATCTTACCTATTATACCGCAGCTGCTTATATTTATGTGCCCTTTACAGCCCTCATTTCTAAGTAATTTTCATCATCTGAGAAGGCACTCAACCATCACACATAGCATTTTACAAATCGCATAACAAAGCTTTCACAAGGTAATTTTTCATAGAGCTGGAAATAGCACACAAGCCTTCATTTTGACAGTTCACTGCCATTACCCTCTCATACTAAAGCTGTGAATAGAATCCACCAGTCCACAGCTGCCTAGCAAATCATTATATCTCACACCCAGGGACTGTTTCTTAGAAGGAACAGCAATACTTCAAGAGACAGATGTCATGATGCCCTGGGTTTACAATCTGAAGCCTCTTTCCTGTGGCCCAGCAGATATCTTGCATCTTCAGTCTTCCAAATAATTTATTTCACCCTTTTACAGGCCTGCAGGTATGAACTCCTCCTTTAAATTGTACTCACTAACTGCCATGGGACTCACATGCCACCTGCATGCATACTTTATCAGACTTACCTTTTTTCTATCTAGCAAAGTAAACTGTGAAAATATATTTATTTCTTGGTTTGGCCTCCAAGACCAAACTCCATGTTAGATTTTAGGGATTTGGCTATTTCTTTCCATCCTTTAATAATTAGGACACATATACAGGGAGTTGCTTTGGTATGAAAATTCACGTTCAAACTTTTCTTCCCCACTCTGCCTTGGAGAAGCTTGGGTTTACAACAGTAGTGAAAAACATTCTGCATCACCACTTAAGGACAGCTCTCCATACTGCATTTTGCACACAGAATCACAGAAAGATTTAGGTTGGACGAGACTTCTGCATGTCTCCAGTCACAGCTCCTGCTAAGAGCAGAGAAGCCTTTAAAGCTAAATCAGGCTGCTGTGGGCCTTGTCAAATTTAGTTTTGAAAGTCTCCCATCATTGCATACTGTCCCAGAGTGGTACCACTCTCCTAGGGAAAAGTTCTTTCTTTGAGCTGAATTGTATCAATTAAGTGACATATTTTACTAAAAAATCCTAGTTGTTATACAGGGGTGTGTTTAGATGGTAAGGTCAACATGCTCCTGAACCCTCCCATGTGTCAAATATGTTGGGTTAATGCAATGTATTACAAAATCACAAGCCAGACGTTAAAATCTCTAATAGAGTCATAAATTGTGCCTTGAATGAAAGATCTTGCGCTCTGGCCCTCTGGGAGTCTTTGGCATTCAACAACACCACACGCTGATATTAAAAGACATCAGAGCTCTGTTGTGGAGAGGGAACATTTCCTGTTTATGTAGTGTTCATATTAAAACAATTCCTGGAAGGTAAATTTACACAAAGAAGCAGTTCTGCAACTGTTGTCACTATCTTGCCCAACCCTATGAAGGATCCATGCCTCCAACTTCAATTCTAGATTTTTTTTCCCTGAAGTTTGCTGATTCTTTTTGTCTTGTCTCTCTCTAGTTTAATACACACCAACATTTTTCTTCTTATCTATTGGATGTCAAGAACGCAACAGTTATACCTGAAGGGGAAGATCTGGAAACAAATGGATTCATAAACTTCCTGTGCAGTGAACAGAACTATTTCTTCATTATCATTGCAAGTGCATGCATAGCTTCTGAGAAAAACCAGGGAAATGAGAGACAGCCAAGCTCAGAGTGCAGGCAAGATGTAACACGATCTCCAACAGGTGTCAATTGCCAGTCAGTTCCAAGAATTCAATATGAAAAAACATATAAAACAAGCAATTTGGAAAAAGAAGAGGGGAAGTATGTTACACAATTTTAGCTAAACTACTTTAGTCAAACTGAAGATGTCAACTTTCCCTAATAAACTTTCCCTAAATTAGAGTTCTAGAGACTCTTCTTGCTTCTTGGAAAAGGAAAAAAATTGATTTGACTGGTCTTCTGTAACCTACCTAAACAGAATTTCTGTTGGAGAAGTGTCCGCTGTTCTACCATTCTCTGTGTCCGGGAAATAAAGAACCTTAGGATCAGATGGTAGGCCTAAATACCAGATACTGAGAGGACACCACTTCAGAATCATAGATCTTCAAAATAGTATGTGCTATTGTATGTGTCTCTTAGAAAAATCAGCTGTGAAGATTTCTTTAAACTACCTCTGGCTTTTTTTCAATATTTGCTGTTTGTGAAGACAGAAATGCATTATACCTGCCACAAAATTCAGACTCAGACAATCTAGAAAGATTTATAGTGTTCCATTAAGGCAGCTATATTCATTCATCACAGTACCAATTTTCCAATGCACTGCTGTATATTTTTGCTGGCAGTGCTCCTTTTCTTTTACTTACCCCTCTATAGGTATCCTCTGGAGATTTATTATAGTTCCAAAAGCGAAGCCCTGCAATACTTTCATTTTTATCAAAATGGATTGTGAGCAGATGATCTTCTCCAAAAGAGAAGGGAACGAGCCACATATGGTCATCCTCTACTGTGATATTAGTCCCATCTATTAACCTACAAAGAGTAAAATCCATTAGCTGTAAAAAAGGAAAAGCTTGCTTTTCTCATGAAAATCAGGTACTTTACCAGGGTGTTAATTTTTTTCTAGATGCCACTTCCAGGGCTTATTGTGCCTCTGTGTACGCAATTAAAAAGCACAGTAAACATCAAAAATAAAATGCAATTGTTGAATTCAAGACAGTGGGGGGAGAAAAAACAGTATTTCCTTCAGATGGGTCTGTTTGAGGAAAACTAGCAAAATCCTTAGATTTTCCCCATGTGAACGGGGGCAGGCAGAGGAAAGCTCAACTACCGTTGTACCAAAATGGCCAAAGGCAAACTCTAAGGCTCAGACACAATATAACTTATTAATATAGTTCCATGCCTAAACTAGTGTGTCTGGCACTCTGCAGTGTGTCACTGTGCCAATGCAACCATACTGAATCCAACAAGGAGCTGGATGGCAGCTGGATAACCGAGAGAAGCAGCAGTTTGTTCACATCCTTCTCCACGCACAGTTAGGCACGTTCTTACATTTTAAAAACCTTTCTACCAGCATGACAATGTCTTTTCGTAAGAGCACAGACCTCAGGCTGACTAGATAAAGTTAATTCCATTATTTCCTCATTCTGGAATCCTGACTTTGTATTCTTCTACAAAATCTGGCATACAAAGATGGAGTAAGGGAGAATATGAATTGATTGCCCACTGTAATTACTTTTGTACACTGCCCTACGTACTTACTATTTATTTGAAAGTTTAATGCACGAATGAGTGCCAGACTTGGCAGTTCCTTAAAGAAAAAGATTTGAATAATGAGTCTTTCACAGAGGAACTGATTAGGGAGCCCATGAGAGAAGATATAACCCTTGACTTGGTCCTCAGTAATACACTGGACCTATTCCAAATGCTGCAGTTGAAGAGCACTGTAGTGTACTCAAATTCAACATGTGTGTGGAAATACCAAAACCCAAAAAAGGCCCTATTTCTTGTGCCCAAAAAGGTTCTTAAGCAAAAGTGAAGCATCACATTAAAAAAAAAAAAAAAAATAGTAGCAACAAAATAAAATAAAATCATCACACACAGCAAAGAGAATATTACAGGATATCATTCTGGAAGCACAGAACAAATACATTCCACCTACTAAGAAAGACATTAGAAACAGGAAAGACTTGGAAAATCAAAGGCAGCCTGGCTCAGTGGCAGGATAAAGAAAGTTATTACAAGCCATCTTTCAACAAAATTCATGATCAAAACCCCCTAAATTGATAGGATCATAAACTCTGGAAGGCTAAATGCGTATGCACAGGCCAAAAAAGAGCATGAAGGCTGGCAAGTAAAAGGTACTATAAATAAAATTCCTCAAATACATCAGGAGCAGAAAGACTGGCAGAAATTCTGTAGGAACAACAAATGACTAGGCTGTAAAAGGAGCATTCAGAGAAGATAAGACACCAAGAGAAAAGCTAAATGACTTCTTTGCATCTGAGTCCATCATGGTGGAGTCTGGAGAGACTCCACAACCAGAACCTCTTCATCACAGGGATCTCCTGGGAAGATTTCTTAGATCTTGATGTCTACAGAAGAGATTTTCATACAAATAGGCAGAAGAACTGAGGAATTAGATACAAGTAAGCTTGACATCTGTATTAGTCGGATTAGCAGAAATTACAAAGAACAGTCAGGGTACAAGCACATAAACACAAGATTCTAAGGCAGACCCAACGAAGACTTTGCAAAGAGAAGTCCTAATTCATAAACTTACTCATAAGACCATAAACATGGCAGAGGACAGGATTACAACTGAAAATACCCTTTGGATTAGCAGAAATTACAAAGAACAGTTAGGGTACAAGCACATAAACAGAAGAAAGAGAAGTCCTAATTCATAAACTTACTCACAAGACCATAAACATGCCAGAGGACAGGATTACAACTGAAAATACCCTTTAAAATCGAGATATGACTCAGAAATAACAGGATGCAGCTTCAATAACAACAAATACCAAGTCCTCTCCGTACCTACAGCCTGTGATTTCTATACTGCTACCCTTTAGGAAGTACAAGTTGATTTGAGGAAGTATGCTTATCAATGAATAAAACTTCAATGAAATTGCAAGAAAAAAAATAAGCTGCAGAATTGCAAAAGAACGGCACCTATTTGTGCAATAGCGTTCCTCACACTTTGCTAACTTGAAAATTTTCCTTGAAATTACCCAGAAATCCTGCATAAATATCACTGCATATGCATAGACAGATGCTACAGAACACCCACGTTTCTGCCTGGAAAGTCCTTCGCAGAGGTATCAACCATGCACTTTATCATCTCTTAACTCAAACCCTCTTTTGGAAACATCTCATTCATGTTTCTACAAGAAGCTGTTCTTTGGTAGCTTGTGAAATCCAAGCATGAGCTGTGATGGTACGAAAATCATGTTCACATTAACATGCGTTAACATAATAAAAGTTTTCTATAAAAGTTTGATGTAAAATGCATCTAAAATTGATAAACTCCAAAACTGTACAATCCAACTCTTTTGCTACTTACTTTTCTAATGTTCTGGAATCTCGTGTATACTCTGGAAGATCATTTAAGTCTTGGGGTGAAGCAGAAATCTGTTCTGTACTTATTTTTAATGCGTGACCATTCTTTCCTATCACTTCAAGTCCCGTCAGTCCAAGGTAATGAGAGTCTCCCCAGGTCATGGTGAAATTCAGTTGCAGGCCTATATAAAAGAAAATACATATAATATATCTATATACATACTTTCTAGCTTGAAGTAAGGAGCCAATACAAGTATGTGTGCAAGCCCCAACAATTTGCAGTGCGTGTATTTTATTTAGATTAAATAACTTTATACGCTGTATTTGAGTACTTCCTGGCCTGCGTGCCTACCTCCATGGAATAGCATAGTATCTTCTGTAAATCTGTGTCAGACCCCTTTAGAGGGCTACCAGTATCTTCCTCACTCATCCAACCCCTGATCAAGCATGTTATCAAGTGGCTCACTACCTAGATTGCAGACTGACAGTAATTTAAGGATACATTTAAGCAGTTACATGACAGATTTTGTGATTATGGAGAGACAGAGAAGACCTATTAGTCTGAAATGTATCGATCATCTTTTGCCAGCTAAATGACTATCGAGACTCATATAAATCCAGTCTATCATAAATCCATAAATTGTTAGAGAACACCAACTCGTAGTTAAACCAAAAACCAAATTTGGTTTACTAAGGTGTTTAAGTTACTATCTTCACATCAGAACTGGACACATCGAAGTATTTTAATGGGACAGCATTAGTGAAAAGCAGCAATGTTGATTAGCCTGCATCTCCATAAAACAAATGGGAAAGAAAAACTGCACAGACAAAAGACTGTATGTTTATCTTCAGATCCACCTGCTTCATGTCTTACTGAAAAGATATAAATAGCATATATGGATATAACAAGTAATATTCCAATCTGATCAGGTTCCATAAAAACCCATCACTGTAAATTAAAAATATCTTTCATTTCACACATTACAGAAGCCCAGAAATAATCAGGTAGGATAACGCCTGAAGAAGCACCAGTAGTCACGATGCCCTGTAAAACAAACAAGCATTAAAGCTATTAAGCCATCCAGCCCAATTACCTCTAAATAGCTGTAGCAATTTGCACAAGACTAAGTCTTGATGTACACATAAATTCACTTGGGCATAAGATGTCTTCAGCATTTGCAAGGACACTAAGAAATAAAGAGTTCTATTAGCTGTCAAGTCAGGAGCCATGGCTACACTGATATCAGATGCTGCTCCCAAGGCCATTGCTAAGGCTAAACTTGCTCGGTGTACAAGCCTGCAAGAGTTCTCAGGCAAAATCAGAGTATGTTCTCAAACAAAAGGGGAAAGATAAGGTGAAGCAGCTATCCACGCAAGGCTTAATATTCACATCACCATGCTAATGCTTTCATAGAATCATAGAATCATCTGGCTGGAAGAGACCCTCAAGATCATCGAGTCCAACCATTCACCCTGCACTGTCAGCGTCCCTAAATAGAATCTCAGAATGATGCAGGGTGGAAGGGACCTCTGGAAGTCTCTAGTCTGACTCCAAGCTCAGGGCATATCCATTAGATCAAGTCTATCAGGAGCTTGTCCAGTGGAAGGCTGGCAGATTTCAAAACCTCTCTCAACCTCTGTTCCAGTGGTTGACTGCCCTCAGGGTGAAAAAGATTTCCTAATATCCAGTTGGAAATTCTTGTCTTCTGCCTTGTTGTTTCTGCTGCCTCTCAACCAAACCCTGTGTACATCCCTGAGACAGCCTCGATCTGTCATCTCTGTGCTCTCCCGATATCTATAGACAGCAAGAAGGTCTCCCCTTCACCTTTTCTTCTCCAGGATGAACAAACCAACCCAGCTCTCTCATGCTTTTCTCACATCAGGTATACCAGCTGCCTGACCATCCTGGTCACCCTCCTCCACTGGACTCGCACAGGGATATCGATTTTCTCCTCATCCTAGTGAACTCCTTACTTAACACCGTACTCCAAACATAGTTTCACAAGTGTCAAATACAGGGAAAGAATCCCGTTCCCTGCCCTGCTGGCTGCACTCTTACTTTCACATCCCAGGAGGCAGCTGGCCACCTTTACTGCAAGGCCACACTGCTGACTCTTCTTCAACTTGTGGTCTTACAAGGACTTTCTTAGCCAGGTGGTCCCCAGTCTGTCCCGTGGCATCGGTTATTACATCCCACACACAAGCCTTTGCATTTGCCCTGAACTACATGAGGTTACATGAGGTAACATCATGAGATTATGATTTCTTCATCCTGTTGAGGTCCCTCTGAGGAACAGCCTTGCCCTCCAGCATATCAACCACTCTGTTTGGTATCATCCACAATCTTGCTGAGATTGCACTTTATCCTATCATCCAATTTCTTTAAAAAATATATATTGATCAGTGTAGACTATTGTATTGATCCCTGAGGGACACTTCAAGTAACTAGCCACTGGCTGGTCTTTGTACCAGTGATAATCACACTTTGAGGCACTATTTCTCCTTGACATCACAGCAGGATGAAAGTGATGAAAGCTACCTACAGCAGGTCAAGGATACAAATCCTCAGTGACTTCATGCACAATTCATTACCAGGAGTCCCAGATGAAAGAGGCAGTATTGATCCTAAGTTTTGTACAATTCCCAGTAATTTCCCAAAACAGCAAAAGGACTCTCACTCCACGTCTAAGGGACCACCTCACAGCATAAGGAGAACAAGGAACAATAATATACACAGGCAGAACAGGGTACACAGAAATCATTGGCAAAAGTCAGATTGTGGCTTCTAGTTGTTTTTTTGCTTTTGCCCAAGGTCACTTACAAAGATAGTCCCCTTGTAGGAATTAATGGCAATTTTGTCCTGTGTGAGACACTAAATTGGAGCTTCTTTTGCATTTCATAAGACATGGAAAGCCTCCCTTAAATGCAACTAGCTTTCTCCAGCTTTTTCCCTGCAAGAAGTCACAGGAATCAGGACCTCTTTGTCTGGTAGAGCCACGTTAGCCCATCAGTTGATTAACAATATCTTGTCAGTATGAGAGACTGCGTCTGCTGAGCGCTGAACCACACCCTCAGGATCTTTTTCCCCCACCTTGAGAAATGGGAGGAGGGAAAGGCTTCTTAAGTTCACAGGTATGAACTGATCATGGACATGCTCATAGATAAAGCCCTCAGATGTAGATGTAGTTCCTAGGTCACAGATCACAGATCACAGCTGAAGAAGCCACAGCATTGTGTGCATTTTCAGAGAGCACCGCACAGGTTGCTGAAGACTTTATGCCAGGCCCAAGAAACCAATTTCTCTTGTGCTGGCCAAAGGACCAGGAGCTGATACTGAAATTTCTGGGCCATTCAGAAGCTCTCTGGAAAATAATTTAAGGCTCACAGAGAGTTGTTTTTTTCAGGATAAAGGAATCAGGTACTTCAAGTATGGATGTAGCATTCTGGTCTAGCTTTACGGCAGGATTTCTATTGTCAATCTGATCTCAGAAATTCAGTCAGTCTCCATAAATACATAGGATTGGGAGCGAATTACTGGGTAATGGACACAGCTATTACAAATCCCATTCAGGGACTAGGCAAATAGCTAGTGTTATTTTTCTGAGATTAAAAGCCAACTGTTACTATATAATGTTCTAAATGTCATAGTAAACAAAGCTTCTGCCTTAAATATTCAATTACTCGTCTTTATTCTAGACCTGACATCTGTCACAAAGTTCTGTACAGCTCTGACAAATCAGATCCTCCTTGATAACATGTTAGGGGGGAGGGCGGTTAAGCAAGAAGTAAATGTAAGAACTTACATTTTCCAGTAAATATTCCTGATTCCTTGGGTATACATTCAGAGAGAGGGTCTGGCTCTTGAACCTAAAAAGTTAACCAACAGGTGCAATGAACATGTGTATCATTTATACATACAGATACTTTGTTCATAAAGTGGTGGGGTTTTGGTGGAGTTTTTTGCCTATTTCCTTTTTTTTTTTGTTTTTGTTTTTCTTACATCCAGCCTTTTGTTTATCAGTCTCCCCTTTGCCTCACCACACAGGCTGTCCTGCAAATAACAAAAAACATGCCCCAAAATGTAGAAGATCATGATCATATGGGTCCTCAGAAAGTCAAGACTATTAGGGTTGGTTTTTTTTTTGTTAGTGCATGTAGGAGTGTTAAATGGGAGACTCTCTAGGCTGAAATTCTTAAGTTACTCTTATTTACCTGCAGACTGCTATTAGCTAATGATTATATGCTGTATTTGCAACGTATGGCAAATATGTTGCAGGACAAACAGACTGGAAGGAAGTTAAGACCTGAGAGAGCACCACCACAACTGATGATAAAATGACGGCTAATTATATTCGCTGTAGGTAAACGTAAAAATGCTACACATGAGGAAAACAATCCTAACTTTACACATACAGTATTGGGCTCCAAACAAAATAATAGCAGATTAGAGTGAAATTGTGGCATTACTATAAGTAGTTCTACAAAAACATCAGCTCAAACCTCACTAGTAGTCAAAAGCCAAACAGGAAATTAGAAGTGCAGACTCATTCTCTATAGTTTCATTCATCATTAGAAATAGACTTTCTGTCATCCAGAATACACCAAATGGACTTATATTGCACCTAAAAAAAATAAAAGGCTTGTCGACACTTTTCTCCAGCTGTTACATTAGATCTCTGCAGTATAGTCACTGACATCCTGGATCTTACATGTGTCTGTTCCCAAACTGCAATACACTCCATGTAGTAGCAAATGTCCTTGTGGTAATTAAGTAGGTGAAACGGAACAAGAACTGTGCACTGAAGTAAACACAGAGATAACCTACAGAAGATGGAAAAAACCCCTCTGGTTCTGGATACCTTTCTCACAAAACAGTGATTCTGTCTTTGATGTCTGATGCCTTATTCTCAGAACAACTTTAAAAGACCAGCCTGGGAATTAAAATTTGCAACTCTACTGAATATCAAAACCCATGGACGCCATAAAACTACTGGTTTTATAGAATGCAGAATAATGCCCTCCCTTGCAGGCTATAAACCATCTGTGCTGAGTCACCTTATCACCTCTTTCCTCCCTCTTCCTCCTTTCTTGGCTACTCAGATCCCTTCATTCCACTGGTGCCCACTATCCTTTTTTTTCAGATATGGTCTAATTTTCCACTAGTCTAGTTTCAACTAATTCTGCTCGTGAACATCGTCCTACCTGTGTTCTTAGATCCTTACAGCTAGAACAAAATACCACCATAGTACAGGAGTTATTGGAAAAGTAATAAAACGTGGAAAGTATTACCATGCTCCCGCACCTGGCCATGCTGTACAGCACCTTCCATGTGAGGAATAACTAAAGCAGTACTAACCATTCTGGAAAAGAGAGATTTAGAAGAGATTGTAACAGAGGGGCATAAATCCCTTGAGTGGCTTGAAGAAGGGAATAGGGAATAACTGTTTAGTTTATTCCAACATAAAACCGGGGACATTAAATGAACACAGAGACAAAGAGAAATAGGTTCTTTGTGCTATGTGAGTTAAGCTGGAACCTCACCACAGAGCACTGCGAGTTGGAAAAGTGCATATGGGTTCAAAAAGCTAGTGAATGAATTAACGCAATAAAAATCCATGGCAGGATACTAAACACAAAGGTTAAGTCAAAAAGTCCCTGCCAGACAAATTTCTAAGGGCTGGATGAGTGTTTCAGAGAAACACCTTTGCCTGTTTACTCTTACATGTTCCCTGGCACCCACTACTGGTCACAGTCAGAGTTGGGTCAAGTGCACTAGTTACGGGTCTGACCTGCTATGAAAGTTGACATCAAATTCACGGGGAAGACAGACGACCATGGATAATACTGACAAGAAAGTAAGACACTTCTACAAGAGCTTTTCAAAAGTTCAGTAAAACAGTTTCATCCATTGAACAGGCTACAGGAAAAAAGGGTGAATGATCAACAGGTAGAGACTGTTCAAACCCAATACTAGTCTAAATGACTATGCTGGGGAAGACAAATCATCTAGTAGATCTGTATCATTCTGATAGCTTAAGCATCCATCTACAAAATCTTGATGGTACCAAGATGACAGAATGACAAATACAGAATGACAGTGAGATCAATGGCTCAGTCACAATAGCTTTTATTGTTCCATTGCTGATACAGCATGTTTCAGAGTTAGAAAAGGAGTATGAAGAGTATCACAGATGAAGAACAAAATAAAAGACAGAGACTCTGAGTAAGGACCAGACGGTCCAGGCCTAGGCTTCTGCAACGGAAGAGGTCCTGGTGAATGCTCATAACAAACAAGTGATCAAGAAAAGAAAGGTGAACTTCAATTTATGTTCACGAAATCTTGCACTGCATAAGGTGTCTCAACAGTTTAAGATATTGCAGGCAAAAATGGGACCAAAATTACTGCTGCCAGTGTTAACTAGCACTGGAGAAGTCAAAGGGTTATAGTCACTGACTCATGATCTTAACAGCCAGATCAAACTCTAATGTCATGACATTTCCCTTTGTCTTCTAAACCACCAGGAGAAGAGGACAAGACAGAACAGTAAGGCTTGACAACAGCGCAAGGCTCATTAGGAACCGTATATGACCGGGGGCAGTTTAGCAGAACTAGCTGGAATTTTGATTGATTCAGTTTTGGATCTCCTCACAGACTTACAAGAGCGTGTCCCCTAGAAAAGATATCCTCATTCAAGCAACAGTAGGTGCTCATAAAGATTCTAAGAAGGTAGAAGATTTGATGGGAATCAAGTCAAAGACTGTCCCACACCATCTCGAGCAGAAAATTTTGCAGGATCTTTGCTAGGACACTGGACTGTTGGGCTGGAGTGGTATGAGGCAAGATTCCAGTGCTTGAAAATACAGCCTTCCTCCAAGAAGTAAAATACCTCCTGTATGGAATAGTAAAGGGGCACTTTTATGCTGCAAAATGCACACAGACCTATGGAGATGCTAGTCAAAAAATGAAAGAGGAAAAAAATAAGGGGAGGGTTGAGAGGGGGAGATCCTTCTCACATAAGGTACTTAATTTGTGGAGGAAAGTAAGAGTATGAAAAAGTTCCTCTGTGTGGAAAATACGGAAAAAGCTTTGGTTTGGAGTGACAGGGAGCACAGGTACTCATTACATGAATAACTGCATGGTAATAATCACTGACAGTGGCCTAAACCTTCAGGAGTACCTAAATCAAAAAGACCTCCCTCTAATCTCTGCCTAAGCAAATAAAGAAAAAATAAATACAATCCAGTATAGCCTTCCTTGTAGTCTTATTAGGAAACCAAAATTTGGAGGACCTTTTAGGCTTTAAAAAACGCATAAATTATTGAGTGCGTGGAAAAAAAAATAATCTTCAAAATAGACAGATAGCTGTATTAGTTCTTCTGCACAGTTTCACTCCACCATGGAAACCAGTGTCTCCTACTCCCATGTCACGTTTCAGAAACACATTTATAGAGAGTTCTGAAGCCCCTACCTGTTGATCCACTGTTCTTAACCCTGCTTGTGTAAAAGGTCTTTCATCTCCCTCCCTATCAGCAGTTGTTGGCCTCTTTAGCTCTTCCTCGTATCTCAAGGAGCTGGAATTTTCCATTTCTCCATGATATGTCTCATCACAGTGGTATATAGCTTCCAGAATATCATCATCAGTAGTGAACAATATGGTATCCCCAAAGTGCTCTGGAGCTGAAGGCAACATACAGAATTAAATAGAGAAATCATACAAAAGAATACACAGAGCGATAAAAACTATTTTTGGTCCTTCTTTACATTTAATTTGCTTTAGTGTTTAAAGATACATGGTAAATTGATACTGACTACTGATATAATTAGTATGTTCATTCTCAAACTTGTACAGCACAGCAGAAAAACCTAGAGAGCCCAGTCAAATTTCAAATGCACATAAAAGAAAATGGGAAAAAAGCTTCTCCATCACCTTTTCCAAAAGACCATATCTGTGAAAACAAGTAAAAATCTGCAACTTTTAAATGTCTAGTGACTATCTGATGTTATTGAAATATGGTCTTGTTACTAAGATGTCGTTAAGAATAGAGATTAGCTCTTTATGCTACTAAAATTGACAACATCATTGAAGAATGTATTGGTGGGTTCTGCATTACATTTTGAAATCAAAAGGACTAAATATTATACAAAGTGCCGGCTTGCTCTGAAGTGGAAAGTGATAACAAACAAGTTGATTGTATTTGTTTGTATTGTACTCCTGTTTCCCAAAGAAAATAAGAAATGATAGCATACCTCCGGACAAGGTTCCTGAAGCTTTTGCAATTTCTCCTTTAAAGATGCATTGTTCATCTAACACCATTATAATGTCTTTCACGCCTCTGAAATAGTGTATGCGAGATTTATTGTAATTCCAAATCCTAATCATGGCTACTTGACAGGGATTCACGAAGTCAATAAAGATGAAGTGAGGTTTTCCAGGGGTAAACGGTGCTAGCCAGAGATGCATATCGTCCTGCGTCCGATTTACTCCATCAAGTACATTGGTTATTATTCTGGGATCGTTGCCATAAGCTGGTAAAATATTTATATCAGGTGGTTCAGCTGTTATTTTTGAAATCTGAACAGGCTCTCCTTTAGAACTGAAGACTTCAATTCCATTAAGACCAACATAATGTCTGTCTCCCCATGTTGTCTGAATGTCTATCACTAAGTGCTGCCCATAAGGTAAAACAGGGATTTTGAAATCATTTCCATCATATGCTTCCACAGAATTTTCTTCTTCTTGCCTTTTTGGTAGTGTTTGTAGTCCGTCTTTTCTCATTTGGTGATGTTCTCCAGGCCGGTTGATTTTCTGTTGATGGAGAAACTCATCAAAGATATCTCCTTGAAAATCCATGTTAGAGATTCGGCCACGATGGGAATAATTAAACTTTACCAAGGAGTTCCAGGACTCCTGCAGAGTGTGTTCTTGTTCATTGTGCCACTTTGCTCTAGAGGTTGCCATGTCCTTGATAGAAAAGTCTTCATCTGAAAACAACATTACATAGGCATTTAATGCATCAACAGGATTTAAAGCAAACCACTACAACACAGACCTTCCAGAACGATGCTGGTCATATTGGTGTTCCTTTACTGTGAAATACTGCTACAGTAGCACTTTTATATTACCTCCCTGTTATGAAGGCTACATGTCCCAATTTCCCTTCCCCATTTAGACATAACAAAATCACTTCTAAATACTGAAGAGCAGAGCACGTGCCAAGATACAAAAGCACAACTAAGTTTGAGACTGCGAATTCTTGACTCGACACTTACAGAAATTGGGATTTTGCCCGGTGATACTTATCGTGTGGCTGTCACAATAGTTTAAATCATCTGTCTGCATTTCTGCAGAAGATCTTATACAGTTGGAAATGGCTGAACTGGTTAAGTTTCTAAAGGAGTACAGGGAAAAGCTAGTGCTTCCCATCAAAATCAGCCACATGTATATACAGAAAAGTGATGAGAAAAGAAGTAGGTTCAGCATATAAGGAAGATGAGGTGAGTGTTGCATCCTATGCAGGTAATGTCCAAATATTTTTCTAATTTTTTAGGCAGTCTGAGGTGTAGAAGGGGATAATGACAAAATATCTAACAGGAATGCAGTGGGGGGTAACACATTAGAGAGGCACAGCGGGAGCAAAGCACGTTCTCCTTGTGACTGCACTGGGGAGCTGCTTAATTTCCATCTCAAAACAATTAAGAGCAGATAATAACAAAGATTTTCAATAATGCAGTCCTTATGTATTTTCTTCAAATAAATGAAGAAAAGCAAGTGGAGTACTAAACAATTACAGGCCCATGGGCTAGATCTTACCTCTGTACAATGTCCTTGAGTGGATACTAAAACAAATGGCTATCAAGAATAAATGCCAATTGCAGTAAAATGAAAATAATGTTTTCCCAAAAGACTGCTCAAGACTAACTTTTAACTTTGTTTTTGGAAACACTGGGAAAAAGGCAATGTTTCTAATTTACCTATGGCCAATAATCATTTACATTGGGGATAACTGAGATAAAAATAAGAATTTTAAAGTAGATGGGAAACTACCTGAAAGAGAGTTGTCTTCCAGAATGAAAGGCTGGAGACCAACCTGGCCATTCCTTCTTACCCCACAAGAGGAACACAGATAGTAAGCAAAGGTACATATTTCAGAGAACATCAGTCATTTACAAGTCACTTTGCTGTACAAATCATTGTCATATGGATACTCATAGGATGGGTGATCCCAAGCAGTATTCCCCAGAGCCTCACAATTTATGTGGAGAAGATATTGTATTTATATTTACCACTTTAAAATGTCAAAGCTTGAAAATTTCAGGATTAGCATGTACAGAAGAGCATCTGACATTCATTAACATTCCTTGTGTTGGAGATTTTTCCCTGTTCTTTTTCCTCTTTACCTTTTTTTCTTTAATGTTAAATACCCCAAGCAGTACAGAGATTACAACTCCAAAGCACTTTCACAGCAGGTCAATAGGAGTGATTTTCAATGGGAGATTAACAGGTTTGTTAGCTACATTAAGGAGTGACAACAGGAGAAGTGGAGCTCTGAAAGGAGAGCTGAGAATAGCCCAAAAGCAGAGGTCAACGGCTGAAGGCTCACAGAGTCTGGCATTTCTTTTAGAATCTAAAACTTATTATTTTTAGTGGAGCCATGTGAACAATAAACTCTGCATGTAGATAAAGAAGATCCCATTTGCAGAAGTTACAGGTGCATTCCCAGCCTTCTGCATGCCTGAGAGGATTGTATGACGGATGCTACCGCAGAGTCCAGAAGCAACGACACCTCAAACATGCATCTCCCCTGTCGGTTTAGGAGGGGTGTCTTGAATCATCAAGTCCCTTGTCCTGCTTCTGATGGCAACACACATCATATAATTCCTCTCAAAACTTTAGTAAACTGTATTTTGGGGCAACACCAGCTTGAAAAAACCACCTTTCTTCCCCTCTATTGTGTTAATTTTTACTCCCCGCAGTTATAAATAGCAATCATATTTCCGTGCTGCAATCACATGCTTCATTTCCCAAATCATCCTGAAAGCTCTCTTCTGTATCTGTTCCACTTTGTAATCAGCTTTCCTGAAAACGATCAGAACTGCAGTTTTCCAACTGACGTCTCACGAGTACCTCTGTTGAGACATTAACATTTCCCCAACAGAAATGCCTCTGCTGATCTGTCCTTGGAGCACATTGCTGTAATCACGCCTGCCTCACACACACCAGCATTTCAGAGTCAATCTGTCATCTGAACCAACATCCTTCTCTTCCGCGATCATTTGCAATTGATGGTTCCTCAGCTTACAACTTAATTTTTTGTTATTAGTCCCCAAATGACCTTGCCAGCAGTACTATTGAATTGCATTCTGTTGCTATTACTCCAGTACTCAAGTTCATCTTTTTGTGCAGTTCTTCAATCTTCTTAACTCATAATACCCCAAATTATACGCTATTTGCAAATTTTATCAGTGTACTTCCATCGTTTCCTTTGCACATTAAACCAGTTATCAAAGAAAAATTCCATGTTTTTATAGCAGCATTAACTCGAGCCAAGTATGCACGCACACGCTACTTCCAATTTCTGTTATTCTTGTTATTCTTCACTTAACGACCAACGATGTGCTGTGACATGGCATAGGAGGCTGTGCAGCCTCCCCTTTGTCACATACTGCTATTGGGAAACCGCAGTTCCCCCAGCCCCATACCAATTAAAATCCAGCACTCTTGGGGAAACACTTAAAACTGTTTCCCTGTTGTTAATGCTCACTCAGCTCCACTTCGTCGGCAGCTTTACCCTGCACAGTACAGTACAGAGAGAACAAAAGCTGGTGGATGACATGCCATTTTCCCAGGGACAAACACATATTGGGAGTTTTAAGTATCAGATGACAAAACTTGCTCTGAGCAAAGTTAGAGGACGTTATAATTAGAATCATAATAACCCTCATCTTACAGTTTACATTAAAACTTCTAAATTGTTACCATTTTTACAATTGAATATAAATTACTAGGGTGGGATTTATTTACAGTTTCCATAACGTTGACAAGTCTTTAATCTAGCAGAGAGACTGTAAAACGCGTGAAGCAAACGGGCTGTGGTGAGTGGGTGGGTGAAGGGAAGGTGGCAGTGATTCCAGTTACTTCCTTACTTTTTTCTTCTTTGAGGTATAATTTCCGATATACTTACAAAATTGCTGTTTTCTCCACAGAGGGGCAGAGAAGGAAAAATTCAGACATTCTAAGTTTAGAAAGAACCATTTTCCTCACCTTTGTCTGAAAAATCCATACAGTACCTGCTGTAGAATTTGAACTGGATGCATTTAGGCATACTTCCTGTCCTTTACAACCATAAATTTAATGTAAACACCCAAATATAACATATAGCAAGCCACACTTCCACGCATATTGTTCTGATGGTTAGTTATACTAAATCACCCCAGAAATTTCAATTTGTATTTTTGTAACCTCTTCTTCCAGTTCTCAGGGTCATCTTGTCCTTGTTCTGCCAGACTCTGCATTTGAGACAAGTTAGTGAATGCTGAAGAATTACAGAATGCCAAATAAAGGGTATGGAGGGTCCAAAAAAAGAGTCAGAGCGACACATGGCTTGAAATCAAAAAGGGGGGATTAAATACATCTCATGTTATTTAGACTTGTTAAGTACAAAAATATTAACCCCACACTCAGAAAATGTCTTAGCCATAAATTGCTGGAGGTTGGGAGAGAGCAGGAACTTCAGAACTTGCCTAACTCTCCCACTCTAGGGGACACACTGTTAGTGACTGCCAGAGGCAGAACACAACTACTCAAATCTGCATTCCCCACCTCCAACAGGATCCAGGTGAACTAAAAAAAGTTTGGAGAAGGATGACAAGGATAATCAAAAGTATGGACCAGGTAACAACTAAATTTACTAGAAAGCTCTTCATAAATGAGCAGAGATGTCTGAGGGAGAGGTTTCAAAGAAGTATGTAACGTCAGAAGCAGAGAAGGGAAAATAAGGGCAGTTTTCCATTCACTCTGAATAAATATATTCAGCGTATATTCTCCCTGAGAAAGACACAAACCTACTACACAAATAAACTCTGCAAATTTACTCACTACCTTCAGGCCATCTGCTTCTTTATCTTTTTGCAGATTTTCATTGATATTAGCAAACATTTGCTGTCTGCAGGACTTCTCCATTTTCAGAATACAATTTACTAAAATTTAGTCTTCAATCTTCTCCAAATAAATTTAAACCCACTAACTCAGAATGTAAATTTTTCAGAAAAGGAGCATTTCACGTCAGGTGTAGGAAAAGGAGAGAGACTCTGAGCATTGTCCTAGTATCAATGAGAAAAAATGAATACTGCAAACAGCACAAACAAAATCCTGCTGTTTATACCTCCAGGAATTTCAGGAGGTCCCCTTCCAACCTAAATGATTCTGTGTTTCTGCAAAATGGGGAACATGTCAGCACTTGCACTAAGGTTGCTATTGTGAGTTCTTACCTTTAAAAGCGGAGTCACCTTCTCCAAGACTTATAGTGTTTAATCCCTCCTTTTTTACACATCTGACACTTCTCCTTCCACATGTAGGGTACGGTAAGCTGCAGCAATTTTTGCTGGAAAGTTGCTCCAAAATGTCCAAGCCTGCACCATCATCCTTTCTGGTTAACATCTGTGATCTCTCATCTTCATTTGCATTTCTACTGCTGGATCTTCGCAGCTCGTTTCTCTGACATTTGACATTCTCATTAGTCAGATCTGCAAAGTTTTTCATTATTCCATCTGACTGTGTTTGTAATCTCAAGCCTAAACAATGTTCTGTAGCAAGCCAGGGAGGCTTCTGCTTACTGGAAGTAACTTGATTATTCTCTGTGACTTGGGAAGATGACTGTAACCAAGAAGGAATTGCACTTGTAGAATCAGACAATTTTCTTCCTGTTAGCTTTTCCATTTGCTCGCTCAAAGTAAGTTCATCGTCAGACTGAACATGCTCTGTAACTGCTTGTACTGTTGCATTCTCTTTGGCATCTTTTATACAAACTTGCGATGGTGACACTTTCAGATCATCCTCTAACTCAGACAAATTTTTCTTTGTAAAGCTGATTGAGTTCATCTTATGCTCAAGAAGATTTTCTTCTGGCAGAGATTTCCAGTTTAGTGAAGTATTGTCTGACTGTAAGCATTTTAAATGTAGGTCTGCTTTCTTCTGTGTGACTGCAGATGCACTTACTTCTTTCCTTTCATTTGAGGAACACACAGAGATATCTTGCTTGTGATCTGTAAGGTCAATTGTAGTGCTATGGTCAGTGAGAAGCTCTCCGGAGGCTCTCTCCAGTTCACCATCGAATACAAGATTCTCATCAAGGTATAACTTCACCTTCTTTGCTCCAACATCAAGGTCCTACAAAAATAAAAGTATGAAGATTTTTATCAAGCTGTTCGAGCATTAGATATCACTGTTCTGGAACTCTGACATTTGAACATTTAATCGATAATCAGATGAAAACAATTAAAATCCAGTATCAGTAACATGCTTCTGATTACTTTTTGATCAAAAGCTCAAACAACTGAAAAATACTGTGGAATATTTAAGATCTTATTTAAAGAGACTAAAAAACCCTGCCAGACACTACTATGAACCATTTTGGCTGACAAGGCTTAAATGTTTAGAAAAGCTTGAGGGAGAAAGTCTAGATTAAGTATAATTATATTTGATCAGGATATAAATTCCAGAGGCACATTTGCTTCAGCATCTTTAAGATTCACCAGTTTCATGACATGTTCCACAGCAAACGACCATCCAGATCAAAGCCACTAGAGCTAAAAAGAGTCATAAAGCGTTACAGAAATACAAGGCTGCAAAGGACATTAAAAAAAAAAATTATCCGGTCCATCTCTTTCCACAGAAGAAAGCAAAATAACCTATACCATTGTGAAGAAAGCTGTTTTTAACAGTTTTCACATAATCTGCCTTGATAGCCTATTCCAACACTTAACTAGTCTTTTAAATAGAAGGCCTTTATCTCATGCACAACTCTGCCACTCACAACTTTATCTCTATGTTCTCCTTTTCTGTGGCATTCACTAAAACTAGATTTTTTCATTCCATTGAAGTTGGAACTAATGTTCTTTCTATTCTCTTTATCATTTCCATCTAACCATTTCGCCCTCTTGACAAAAATACCAGTATCTTCAAAGAAAATATAGAAGATGAGACAAAATCTATCTCCTTTCTGCCCTCTAAATTTCGGCAATGTGTCCATCACATGGAGTCTTTGAAGACTCTCTGTTCTTTCATTACTTTCATGGAAACCATGAAGATTTTCATTAAAGTAAGAAGTTTCAGTTTCATCCTTCTTGCTCATCTCCTGAATGTCGGTTCTCCTTGAATACTGATTTAAATTTTTCTCTGCTCCCAGCCTAAACCAGTTACTCCCTCACCTTCAAGCACAAGCGTCTCCAGTTTTTCACTCCTGCATGCACTCTTTACAGCTTACAGGTCTTTATAGCTTCCGTGCTACTGCTTTCCAAACAGTAACATTTATGAGGCGAAAAATGTAATATGGACCCACACAGGGGGGAAAACAGAAGATTAGGTGTAACAAGGGAGCTACAGTTAAGGAAGGGGAGTAGGTGTAGGAATGTGAGATGTATTCCTGATAGAAAAAGATAACCTTCACTAACTGTCGTGGTTTAGCCCCAGCTGGCAGCTAAGCCCCACGCAGCCACTCGCTCACTGCCCCCAGGTGGGATAGGGGAGAGAACCGGAAGGGTAAAAGTGAGAAAACTCGTGGGTTGGGATAAAGACAGTTTAACAGGGAAAGCAAAAGCCGCGCACACAAGCAAAGCAAAACAAGGAATCCATTCACTGCTTCCCATGGGCAGGCAGGTGTTCAGCCATCCCCAGGAAAGCAGGGCTGCATCACGCATAACGGTGACTTGGGAAGACAAATGTCATCACTCCGAACATCCTCGCCTTCCTTCTTCTTCCCCCAGCTTTATATGCTGAGCATGACGTCATATGGTCTGGAATATCCCTTTGGCCAGTCGGGGTCAACTGTCCCAGCTGTGTCCCCTCCCAGCTCCTTGTGCCCCCCAGCCTACTCGCTGGAGGGGTGGGGTGAGGAGCAGCAGTCACTAAAACATCCCTGTGTTATCAACACTGTTTTCAGCACAAATCCAGAACAGCCCCATACCAGCTACTGTGAAGAAAATCAACTCTATCCCAGCCCAAACCAGCACACTAACTTCTCAGAGAACAGCTGTAAACCCAGATTAATTGGCCATTATGTCATGGCTGCCTGTGTTACTCCTAGAGTATCATAAAGCACTATATGTCTGTACTGACGCATTTGGCTATAAAACATGACTTTTTTTCCCTTGAACAAGGACACTGCTAGATTAACTGGGGATCAAAACACTCTAATAATTATATATATTAAAAGCTAACAGCATGGCTTTGCCTGAAATTATGATGGGAAAAATCAAGACCATCAGGATGCCCCAGTAATGTTATTTTTGGATCTTTGTATGTCTGGACTGTTAATGTTTCTCTTAAATGCTAGGGAGATTGGATATTCACAGTTGAATTTGGGATAACCGCAACATTTCTACATAATGGCCTTTACTGCTGTTACTCAAACCTTACTCAAACCTTAGTTCTGCAGTTTTACCTGGGAACACATATAAACTGCATGGAAGCACAGAAATACACACACGTATATTTTGAAAAGTATTTGTCAATTTCATCTTTTGAAATTAAAATCAGCCACCTCTTAAGAACAAAATGTTTTTAAATGAATCTCATTCCACCCACCAGATCTGGAGGAAGACAGGTAGACAGAGAAAACATTACCCAATGAGATAGTGGAGCTTATTCTCCCTGAAAGAGGGACAGTCAAGCACAGAAAACGGCCAGTCACTTCAAAATTACTCTTTCAGTCAGTGGGAAATCTCTTTCTCTGAAGTTTTGGAGTGTCTGGGATAGATATCCTAGGAAGCTTCCCCAAAAGAGGTATCCAGACTGTATCAAGATGAACCAGCCAAAGCTACAGATATTTCTAAGACAATAGAGACAGACTGAACAGGAGCAGGCATTAGTAACAGCTGATAGATCAGAAACATCATTTATTCATGAAGTACTAGTAAAAGAGCTAATGAATGTCCCTTGCACCAAAATTCCAAGCAGACTGAGGCTCAGGCAGGAAAAGTATGAACAGATCTTAGGGACTTCATGAGCAAATGTGCAGACACACAAGGCTAAGAACTGCTCTTTTTCATTCCCTCCCTTCCCTTCTTGCTTAATGATCAGATGTGGTGGGAAAGAGGGACAGAACGGTTAGCTTCTCCTGCTACCACTGCTTAACTCCACTCAGGCACAAGGAGGCTGGAGAAATCCCCTCCTCATGAGTAATTCCATCAAGAAGCCATCCTGTAAACGAACAGTCAAAACTTCATCCAAGGTGGGTTTTTTTTTTTCTTCCTAGATGAGTAATTAGAAGGGCACAATGTCTATAAACAAGCAGGTAGGTATGATCAATGTCAGAGGAAAAGAAAATAAAAGATTTTGTGAAAATAGTTTCTCTTGATATTCCTTCGCAGCTTGCACCTTCAGTCCTCCCAGAGTGGCTCCTGGGATAGTGCTTTCCAATGAAGCAACAGGAATGATATTTCTGGCCATTTCAGTGATATTTGTGCACAAAGGACAAAGCTTAAAACCACAAGCACTTTTCTGCAAATTACACCTGGACAGAGGACTTGAAGTTGCCTTTAGCTGACTTCTCATCAAAAAGCAAAAGAGAAGTAGCAAGAGAAAATAAGTCAAGAATTAATAGAATATGTTTCTATAAACTTAATTCTGCTGGAAAAGAGCTGTTGCATCCTTGCAGACAATGCATCCCGGTGGTAGTCCAGCACTGAAAAAACTCTCCAACTCAAGAGAACGGACATGAACATACACACAGGAGGAGCACACATATGGGCAATCACTTGAAGGAGAAAATGATCCAACTGGAGAGCAACTAAGACCTTCATGCATTTAAGTATTAATTCCATTTGTGAAGACTTACAACAGACATTATATTGCATCTTATGAAAAGAGTTTTAATAGCATCAAGTAACTATGCAGCTTCAAGGCTGCAGCAAGCATTTGCAAACTGCTGAAGTATTTCAGACAAACTTGAAAAGAACTTACACTTGATCTGTTCCTACAGACTAAAAACAACCTCCTCTTTCACAGACCTCATCTGAAGCAAATAAAGGCAAGATGAAGCATTCTCTGAGACCTTCCTTGTAATACACTGAATCAAGGAATCTATGACAATGATGTAATCTGACTTTTACAGCTTCCTTCAAACATATTTTTTCTACTTCCAGACTCAAGTGCTGAAACTCAAACATTTTCAACAATCCAAAAGTACTCGCCTGAATTAATTTTTTGTCTGTTTTTTTAAGTAGTACTTGGACACCTCTCACTTATGCGGTTTTTGAGGGAAGAAGGAGGTTAGAATGATTGCCAAAAACGACACAGAAATCTGGCTCTGGATTTCCATTACCAGGAAGATAATTGCTAGTTAATTATATTTTTGAGTTTTATACTTCTCAGACAAAATTTGCTCACGACAAATTATAGAATTAGGCAGAACAGCTTTGTATTATTCTTTCATCTTAAGGATAATGAGACATTTCTTTAGTCAGTGTAGACTGCTGCACTGTCACCAAAATCCATGGGATTATACTCCTAATGGATTTTACAGTTTGCCTCATAGAGGTTTTTTTAAAAAATAGTGCCTCAAAACACAGAAATACATGTATGTATATTTCCTGCATTATATTCAGTAGGTTTGGTAACAAATCAGACTATTACCTCCCAAAACAGCAGTCCCTTTCACACTCTCTAATGATGATGGAACATTCTGTAGCCCACATTTTAATAGAAAAAGCTATTAAAATTCCAGAAAATAAATATAAATCACGTTATAGTAAATTTGTTTAAGCTGTCCCTTCCATGGCCATTTCCATATGTATAAATTACCATATGTGCTTATATAAGAACATGGATGAGAGCAAAACCAGAGTGATAAAGCCTCTTATTTATAATCCAGGACAGTAAATCCTCTTTGATCCAGTACCTGGGATTTTTTTCTTAACATTGCAGCTTACAAACAAGAATAATTTCCATGGTGACATTCAAACACACAAACAAGAGACCATCTGCCATGAGATGTCTCTCTTGTAACACTAGATTACTTGTTTTATTATGAACACACAGTTAGCTTACTTTTTAATTAAAGCGACAAAACCAAAATCGAGCAACAGTCAGCCTTTTTATACTTATATAAAGGAGAAAACATAAATTTAAACACATATTTATTTATAAACAACTGAAAGTCCTGAATATTAAGATGCACTTACCTTTGTATCTTTATTTCTCAGAACAGCAATGGATTAACTGACAGAACATGCAAGCCTTTTATTAGGTCTTTAGAGACCTTTAACAGCTTTGAAAGAAAATGGTAATTGTGCCTATGAAAACATTTAACACTTATATTGCTACCACTCACAATTAAGACAAAAGCAAATTTCACAGTAGACATGGACCCTTCCTAGCTCCCTATTTTGTTAGAGAAAACAGTATCTACTTTTATTTCACACTTTTGAAAAGAAGATCAAACTGACTTTCCCTAGGCAAGGTAGCGCATACATACAGAGGAGTTGAGAAAATACTACTTACACAGGGAGCTGTTGTGTTGTAATTCCAAATCTTGATCTTGGATATACCAAAGTCACGTGACCGGGCGGGATTGCGGATAACAAAGTAAAGTTGGATGGGCGGATGGAAAGGGCACATCCAAAGGAAGCTTTCCTTCGTGGTCTAAAAAACACGCACAAGTAGACTGTCACTAATACTCTTTCTCCTAAAGCAGCCTGTTTTAATTAAGTCACCACTCCAAAGAAAAACATCCATCGATTAGAAAAGTAACCATTTAATAAAATCTGCTAAGTTAAGAGCAAAACCCTAACCTCATTTCCAAACAGTAAATCCGACTCTCCTGCCTGTAAGACAGCTCACAACAACCTGACAATCAGATAAAGGTCAGCAGCTTGCTGTCCCAGTAAGACATCTGCACGCTCACGAACGACAGGCAGCCTGCCACGCTTTGTAACTGCAGGGTCAAAGCAAGACCAGTTTATTTTAATCAAATTAATCAGCTTTGCAGGCACTAGAGGGGATCACTGAGCACAATGGACACTATGTAATCATTTATGATTTCTTAAAGTGCTTACACTTCTGTTTTGCCCTCTAAAGAGGGGAATCTTACAGAATTTTATTTCACTGCCTTTATTTTAATCAGGCTTTGCAGACAACTGATTTCACTTACAGATCTATTCCTTAGAGCTATATATAGGACTCTACATTTGAGATTTTCTAAGATATCACAGAAACTCCCAAGGTGAATTTTACAGACAAATGACAATCGAGACATTTTAAAGTATCAAAGAATGCCTAATTCTGGACATTGTTCAGAACTGCTACCTCTACATGTTCAGAAATGGAGAATAAAGATGTGTGGCAGCTCAGAAAGAAGCAAGGAGTAAGAGTTTTAAAATCAAAGTGCTAAATACTAATGTACTTGATGTCAAATGTTACCCCAAAACAGAGATGAACAAGGGCACAAGGGAAACATACGACGTTTCAGTGATCTGAGATTAGCAGACAAATTAGCTCCTTTCTGTTTTCAAGGATACACAGTACATACGGTCAGTACACAGTCAGTACTTTTCCACATTCTTTCATTTTGAAGTGAGTCTTTCAGTTTTTCCTAAAGGCAGTAACTACAAAACTTTCCTGTGAGTACTTTAGATGTGTGCCTAACGATGGTGAGGACAGAGCTCTGCCAGTCTGTTCAAAGGTATCATGAATAGATCCACTTCTCATAGTGGTCATCTACATATTCCAGGCTCTGATGGTTAAAAATGTCTCTGCCCCAGAGGGCTCTGAAAAAGATTTGGGAGTCTGTCGTTGCTTTGAATGTCAGTTTTGGGCACAAACAGCCATCAGAGTGCCAGACAGGTTTAATCCTTTCTATACAGAAAAAGAAAGAAGCCTCTTAATATCAAAGAAGTGAAGGATAGCCCTCAAATCAGCATGAACCCAATTCCAGGATCAACTTCAAAGCTAGATCAAGTTACCCAAGCCACACTATGGACAAGAATGATTAAAAATATCATTTTCTAACAGCAAACAACATCTGATGAGCAATCCATCTCCAGACCTCTCAAGTCAGGACCTGATGCCCTAGAAATCAGCAAGTTCTGGTGCATACTGAGATAGTGCAAGAGCTGCCTTCACAGTAGGGCATGAGATTTGGCATGAAAATGGACTCTGGAGAGACCTGTTTACGCCTCGCACTGGTTACTCTGTAAAGTTGCACATGATCTTCCAAACAATAGAAGGCATATCAGAGCCAGGCCCAAGTATTGTCTTGAGTGAGAGGCAGCTGTAGAGATAATTTTGTTTATCAGTGGAAGTAACTGCTTAGGACTGAGGATACACAAACTCACAGGTGTTAGAGTCTCTGTCTGCATGTTAAAGATCTGACACCAGAACTTGAAGGCACCTTGATGAATCCATGGCAAAACTCATGAGACTGTGGAGGACTCTCGTGTTTTATCACTAAGAGTGATGGTGATGTCTTTCCCTTCACACGATATACTGGAGTCTGGAGTTACTTACTGTCTTTGCAACTACCACTGAAAAATCTATCAGGGTGAACCTGGTATGTCAGGAGTAGGAATTACTTTTGAACTGAATCAAGGGAAAAAAGTAAGAGTGCGAACCTTTGGTCTTAGATTTTGTGAGAGATTAGCCCCGAGACACTCCTTTGTGTTGATACTGGAGGTACACCTGATGGAAGGCTCGAGCACTGTGAAGAGGAATGACGTGAGTGTAAGGGTTCACCATTGTGAAGAAATACTTTTGTTAGATATTTCTAGAATTACAGTTCTCTGTCCTCATTATTCTGAGGTTTAAAAGACATATATACGCATATAGGAAATAAAAAGGTTTATGGAAAAGGACTTCAATGAAATGCCTAATCTATGTCTTATTAAGCATTATATTCCATCAGGCACTATTTCCCTAGTTGAGAGCACCTGATGTTCTGCCAGGCATCTTCTTCTTTTACAGCACATCACGAAGTACAAGGGAGGAGGTAATTTAAGTGTTCTTAAAAGTCTGCAAGGGTAATAAATAAATAAATGCAACTCCTGAACTTCAATAAGAGTATGTCTCTTCTCAAAGACAAACAGACACCCAAATGATCAAAGATGGAAGTGTTTTAACCGTGGCAGAGTGAGTTTTCCACAAAGTAAGTTTCATGTTAGTGTTCATTCTGTTGAAAATGTTAGTTGCTTGGAGAATCATCAATTTGTTTTTTCTAACACACCCAAAAGCTTTCCTGTATGATCTGAAATGTACACAAACTGGAAATGCTGCTTTGACTTCTGAAGGAGGCTGCAGTTCAGTTGTCACATGCCCACACTCTAAGGCCATGTTCCCTGTCCAGATTGCATCTTCTCTGATGCAATACCTTTCCAGCTTCAGGAGAGGAGATTACAGTGTCACAAATCAAAGGAATATATTAATCAATGTCATATAAAACCTCATTACTTAAGAATAATGGGATATATAAATATATGAGAAATGCTGAGAATAACAGGTTTATAATGGATTAATGAGTATATTACTACACAATTTATAATTATTTAGAAAGTCTGAGAGTCGCTCCTCCTACCACTGAGTGTCATTCATCAGAGAGCACAGTCCATAAAAGAGACTGGGCATTTATGACACCTAAACCATAATTTTCAGGAGACAGTAAAAAAGATGTTTCAAGTAAAAATGTTTGTTTGGAAATAATACTGCATACTGAGTTTCAACTAAATTTCAAAATACTGCATACTTGCCTTCTTTCTATTCTCACTCACCCTGCCAGCAGAAAAGTATCACTAGCATGAAATGAGTTAGAATTTACATTTTTTAACAGACTAAGTCATTTAGTATCCTCATCCACTAAAATCATACTCATTTTTACTAGAATCCTAGCTCTGAAGGCCCATGGAGACAAAGGACATGCAGCAAATGTGCAGCACAAATGAAATCATGGCAGTATGAAGGGCTATGGACACTTGCTAATTTCTTTAGTAGCATCAGGATTTCATCCCAGTTATTGTCTTTTGTCCGTTGTCTTTAGTATGTAAGTATCTCATGTCTCCTCATCTTACTATCTCACAGAAAAGCCATGAAATTATCTTCTTTTATCACACCACAGATTTTTCTTAATTCCTTCTTCAAAGCTACCTACCTACACATTCTTATTCTTTCTGATCCTTCCCTAGGTTAAAGGATAACAAGGGGACAGGAGAAAATAAGCATGTTTCCTTCTTAAGTTTACTTAAATTCATATTAAACATCTGGAAGAAGTTAGCAGTGAGGCGCCCATACCTTCAGATCACAAGAATTCCTCAAGTTTAACAGCAGACTTACTGTAAAAATGTGAAATTCCGTCCTTAAAAGTTTTGTGATCTCATTCTACAGATACTATGATTATACCCCAATACTTTAAAAACTGAATGTGTTCTTTCATCCAAGATAATACCACAGAGTTAATATGACAGGAGGCAGAGTTAAAGCTGCCTCCCTCAGTTAATTGTCATGCAAATTAATCAAATTCTGTCCTAAACCAAAATTATAACCAAATACCAACATCTTGAATGGGAAAGACGGATTTGTTAATAATAAATAATATTTGTATTTTTTGAATTATCAGATAGTTGTTATGCAAGTCCGATTCAAAATGCAATCATGTTTCTAAACAAAAACCTAGTGATGGAATATTAAAGAAATAGCATAATGAGAAATTTTCACATATAGGACTAAGCTGTCTTACATTTAAGTTCTTATTGACCAAGCAGCACAAATCCCCTCGGTTGTCAGCATTTCGAATGTCCACATCATGAGGAGACACAAATATCTTCTCGTTGCACAAATCAAAGAATTCCACCTCGCTCAGGCCCACGTGTACTGGATCTCCCCAGTTAGAAAGAAGTTCCATAGTCACATAAATGGCATCACGTACTTCCATACTTGTTGTCATCTGGACCCAAATGAAATATGGTAGAAATGTAAGTGACAAAACAATAAAATGTGCAGCTAAATAAAGACTGTTAAGACGACAATACTGGTGCAAAAAGCTTGCAAACTCAAGGCTATCCGAATGACATTCAACCATCATGGGTTCCACCAATTCCACCCCACACCAACTCATAAATCTATGGCAGGGTAAGAGAAGAGAACTTATCACCCTCTTAGATTCCAGTCCACTCCAAAGTCTAAGGAGAAAACAGCTCTCTGTTCTTTGTCTCATTCCTCTGTCATTCTGACGATTAGTTGACATGGGGCAGAATCAGAGGAATACAGAACATTCAATGCATTTTTATTTCAGTAATACTGGGAAGCATCAGTTATGGTGCATATATACACAAACCTTCTCTCTCAACACAGAATCTACTTCAGATTTGTTGTCAGGTAGGAATGTGTCATTATTGCAGGCAGAATGGCTCTCAGCCTCCTGGAGGACTTTCAGAAGTTTCTTCTGTTGTCTGAAACGTAACATGTTCTTTTATGTGTTATTTCACCATAATTCTTGTATTTTTAAGAAGCAGTTTTGTTGGTGTGAAGGTGAAGAGATGATAGGACAAACCCATACACCCCACAGAAGAATCCCATGTACCTGTGAAGGTGAAGAGATGATAGGATGACCCATACACCCCACAGAAGAATCCCATGTACCCCCACACCCACACTGAATAACAACCTTTGCAGTATCCCACCTTAGATACATGGAGTTTGGTTAAAAGACTGAGCTCCAGTTCTCTGCTGGTTCTGAGGCAGTCTGAGAAAGTAATACATAGGTAATATAAAGACAAACAGTGGGAGATACGGGCAGTTCCCTGATTCACAGAGACTGGCCCAAGGCTGGAACCTTCTCCCTGATTTGCTACTACTTGCGTGATGTCTCAGGTATCTACAGATTATCAGGTGTACTGGTACTACTCTACACCTGGTAGTGTATTGAAAAGTATCCCTCCAAAAAAAGGAAGCTAACCTTGAAGGAAGTATATATACCTGCTGCCAAAAGGACAAATTCTCTCAACAGCTTTTGTGACTGCAGTCGTTGTCTGGCTTTTTTCTGGAGGTTCAGGCGTTGCAGAAACAACAGATGAAACAACAAATTTCTTCTATGTGAAAAAAGATGAACGTGTTTCATTCACATTGTTCTCTACATACCAATGAGTATCAGTCTGCATCTCTGGAATAAATAAGAGTTTGGGTCTAGCTCTGGTCTCAGCTAACCTGAGCCAATCTGTAACTCTATATTGAGTTAAAGCACATTTAACAGAACTAGTCTTGATGTGCAATGAAAGAGCTGAGCTTGGAGCTTGATCTCCTATGTGCAAGAAAAGTAACGTAAAAGCATTCTCCGATGACTATTAAAGATACCTATACATATATGTCTCAAATCTCATTTTGTACATTTGGTAGGATTCAGAGTTGGCCAAAGGTTTGGCACAGGTCTGCCTAGACTTTCTCTTTCTCCAAAAAAGGATCATAAAGACTTTTAAACCCAAAAAAAGCTCGGTTTTATTGGAATAAAATATTGATTTATTTTTTAAAATAAAGAATTATCAGTAGTGACCGTCTAAGAGAAAAGAGAGGAAAAGCCCTGCAGTTCATACAATGCTTTGGGCTCTTTCTCTGCCTGTACCCCACTTTGTAAGTACACTCTGCTCCCTTTGTTATTTTTTGTAAAAATTTGTTGCTAGCTTCCGTCAGAGACAGAATACTCAGCACAGTGAACAACTAGTCAGATGAGGAACGGCAGTGCTTCTGTTCTTAGGTGAATTCTATTTCTATAACTTTTGAAGAGAAAGAGAACTCTAAAATGCTTAGAAGTTAATTACTTTTTTAGTATTAAAAAATCCGCACAGTTACACATTGAAATATCACAGGCCAAGTCCCACAATCCCATAATTGTGTAAGCAAAATTAAATTACTTCTGGAAGATCATTTAGGTCAGCTTTAAGACTAAGAACTCATAGTGGGTTTTTGAAACTCCTTCTCAAGTGTCAGGGTAAAATTACATCCATTTAAAGTACTATTTCATTATTTTTCATTTAAGCACAATAGTATTAAAATTAGTCCTAATGTTAGCAGGCAGATACATTATGTGAGAACATTCAATGGAATTTGTTCTCTCAATCATAAAGCTATAAATATCTCAAAAAACAAGGGAATAGGATTGAAAAGTTGACCTAGATGGTGAAATCATATGTAAAATACTTACCTACAGTAAAAGAACATTTTAATCTTCGCTCCTAACCAAAACTCCCCAGAAACCTAATGTTGGCTCAGCAATGACAGTGGATACGTATTCATCATGGCATAAACTCACAACTTCAGGGAGCATCAGCTCAGGTTAAAGTAGTCAGCTGTCTCAGAAACCCTCAGAATTCAAACAAGGAACTCCAAGAATGTCTGGGCATATTTCTTTTCCTTCCTACAAAAATGAATCTCCTAAACACCAAACTGGAAGCAGACTTTGAATCCATGAACACTGTCCGTAACAGACAGTTTTGTCAATTTCAGTCAATGCCCAAATTTCTGTAGGTATTTTGTTTCTGTTAGGAGAACTGAATTACTGGTTATTCTCAAAGTTTAGCTAAGATCATCAACACAAACTTCCTTATTCTTTAACTTAACAAGGAACAATTGTCTGACCTGAATCAGAAAGGGATGGATTTTTGTTGATTTCCTTGTTTTTGAGTTTCTAAATCACTTTTAAACATGGTTTTTGGAGATAAGAGATGTACACACATTGGTGCAGAAAACCCATACTAGCTCCTCCTCACTAAGAGCCCGCAGCGTACATGACGGCTCCGCTCCAAAAGCAGAGCGTGCATTAACAGGGAACAGTGCCCGTATTAATGAGTGTAGTAGGAAGGTAGGATTTATTGGTATGGAAATCACTCATTATCTCTTTTAAGAAGCTTCCAGAATGGAAATGGCTCAACTGGTCCTGCAGCTGTGCATTTGACTGTACAGGCATATCACGCGACCGGTCTATCAGTTGCTCAGTGATCCCTGAAACCAAGAGAGAGCTGTGGGATGCTATCCTGAGGAAGCAGATTAAAGAAAATCACTCTGTGGAGGAATAATACAATTCAATTATACTTCAGAGGCATCACCATTCATTCCTACGTAATCTTAACGTGTAAGAGATTTAATTCATGGGGGTTTTGCTACTTGATCAAATAGCCCTTTTCTCTATTTTGCCATACCTTTTGAGGGCTTGTGGAAACTGTCTGCCTTTGCAGATCTCTCTGCAAGACTTCATTTTCAATTTGCATTGCTTTAACCACAGCTGAAACTGAGAGATCAGGATCCTTCTCACATTCACTCTTTCGGGCTGCTGAAAGTGGTCTTTCTGGTCGACTTAATGGTCCTGCCACCAAAAGAAGCAAGGAATATTAATTTGTCCAGGCATATAAGTATGGAACATTACAACAGTGTATATTTGAAACATCCAATTCAGTTACTGACACAGGGCTTGCTAGCAGTCTTTAACCATCCCAAGAGAGGCTGAATTGCTCCAATTTGGTTTTATATGAAGATTCCAGGTGACATCTACTTTAGACAACAGCTGAAACAGTATCATAAGAGGAGGAAAATTGACAAATGAGAAACATAATTTTTATGCTTTAAGATTTTTTGTACTTGCTTTGTTCAGGTATTTGATGGAAATGCCTCGTAACAGTTCACTGAAAAAAGTATGTATAATTTCAGCATACCAGAATTTTTCAATGTAACTGGGGTGTTCAGCTATTTTTGAGGAATCCCCAGAGTCTTCCAGCAAAACAAACGGAGTCAGGAGATGCTATTTGCAAGGCAAAATAAATGACCTTACCACTTAAGTAGTCATAAAAATGCCCATACACATCCCAATCTTCCCAAACATCATGGAGAAATAGAAATGTCACAGGCTATAAACAGGTTTAAAAGAAAGGAAATAAAATTTAACAATAGAAGGTCTGAGATTGGACTAAAAGAGAAGCACAGTGGTTATATTCAAGGACTTTGAAAGTCAAGGAAAGAAACAAGAACAAAGTTGTACAGACATTAAGATCAGGTGAAAATATTGAATAACAGGCTGATACACAAGCGTGCTCATAATGCTGCAGTGAGGTTTACTAAGCAGGAATGTAAAATGGCAGTGGATGTTAGGAACACGGAGTCTACCTTGAAAAGACAGGATGTTAAAACTGAATTGAGATTTGCATGTGTTCACACTCTAAACCCTATGCCATCTTCACTCAAAAAAAACTTTCAACAAGCATTAGTCGTCTTTGCAATACAGGGAGAGAATAAAGTTCTTTTTATTTTTCTATACTATACCATCCCTGTGAAATGAAATTAATTTAAGGATTTAATGTGATAGTTGGACAGAAACACTTCTAACAAGCACTATTATAACCTGAGAAAATGCTATACACATCTTTGGAAAATGGTCAAAGCAAGCATCTGCTCAGACAGATGGTGGGTGAGGGCCTCAGAAGCTACAACGAAGATCTATTCTGAAGCCAGAAAGAATTAGCTTCTTTTCCTCAGTTTGGTTTTCTGCCAATTAAGAAACTAATATTTTGATTTTTCAAAACTGTTAGCTTTATTGCTTTCTTGGAACACACAAGGACTTTGCTTTTTTGAAAAGAGTGTCTTAAACATAGAGTATGGTAAGTCTGAAAACTTTATCTCAGACCTTTCAAAACTTGAGTTCATCAGACTTGTCCAACTAAGGACTGTGCTGAAATAACAACTGCAGCTATGATTTCAGCCCCTGGATTTGGGGTTTGTTTGTTGGGGGTATTTTAGCCCAGGTGAAGACTACACCTTAGCAGCAGGTTTCTGGAATAAGCAGCAGTGCCTTCAAAATGGTGTTCTCCAGCCCAGGAGAAACATTTTCTGGTATGGTACTAGATACCAGCATATCTCCCCAGCACTGGAGACCGATTTGCAGTGTTTGAGCTGTAATTCAAGCACAGTCTCTTGCAGCAACACAGCTAGTTTTGCTGTGCTATGGAAAACTATGCCTTTATTGCTATAAATGCATTGTGTTAAAAGCTTCCACCAAAGTGTCAACTGCTGCTGTTAATACCGTAGGGAACAGATCTCCAGGAGGAAAATGAAAACACAGAGCAAGCACAAGGATTGAAAGGGAGAGGAAAGAGTCTTATGCTGTGGAAGCAAAAAGAGAAGGAAGGTAGTAAAGTCGTAGCAGAAGACTAAAGTATAAAAAGTACACAGGCTCTGGACTTTCTCACAATTTTACTTAAAACACTCAAGGTGGTAAAAACACCCCACAAAAAAAAAGGAGACAACAGCTAAGAAAAAAATTGCATAATGACAGATGTGTGGTGAAATTATATCTGAGCCAGAGGTGAGAAAAAAGCATGAAAACTCTCCTTATTGACATTACATATTTTTATTTCTTACTAGAACAAATTCCTTCATGTCTTTCCCGCTCCAAGAACTCAGCGGAGAGTGGCCGAGAGATTTTATTTTTTACCACGATCGGTCTAACAGGAATGTACATTTCAGCATTATCTTTTCTTTTTGCCGAGAGAACTCGTAGTGGCTTCACTTCTGCAAGATAGCAAGGGAACAGAAATAATTTCAGAGGTATTTAGGAGCAGCCAGCCAGGGAAAACTTACTGGATCTTAACTGCTAAAATTTTGCCACTTTAATTATGCTGGCGTAATTACAGTGAGAACCTCCCTCCTCCCTGCCTTTCACTGATCCTGTTCTGTTGATGTAGAAGTACATATGCATGGCTTGCACTGACTTTGTGAAATGAAATAAAATATATCACAATAAGGTACCAATACATCTCATGTGTAGCAGATATTTACCTGCATTACTGTCAAGAAAAGCAAAAATAAATAAGAAGTCCTGAGTCACTTATTAACATAGTTATACCAAAGTAAATTCTTAAAATACAGACTAAAATGTCTTATTTAGAAGTTTCAAAGGGGGATAGGGTTGCCTAGTGTAGTTCATAAGAGTACTTCTTCACTTTTTTATTTGAGAATTATTAATGCCTCCATTGTTTGCATTACAGCTTTGAAACTTCTCTCTGGAAAAAAAAAAAAGTCATGTACTCTCCTAAAGATCTTGTTCTCACTGCTGCTCCACCCCTTCTTCCACCTCTCCCCACTGACACTACACTCACCTCTATGATAACGAGAGGAACACTCCTTTACCTAATTTGTTCAAAGACTGTTCCTCTTAAGTTAGGGAATTAACTATGGGTAAGGAAAAGGTAAAAAAAAAAGAAACAAAACAAAACAAAAACAAACAAACAAAATCACAAAAAAAAAAAAAAAAAAAAAAAAAAACAAAAAAAAACCCACCAGAACCAATGAATGTACCTGAAATGAGTGGGGAGGGAATTTTGAGAAATATTGAATGTAGGTCAAGGTCTGTTTTCTGCCTAAACTTTCTGCCTTTAACAACATCTAAACATCTTTGAGATCTAGTGACTGGTTTTGGGGTTGGACATTGAGGTCTGCAAAGGAGACCTGACAAAAAGAAGTGGCTCCTAGTCAGATAGATTTGTTTTCTCAAATTAATGCATCTTTCATCAGGGATGAACAGCACATGCTGTAACAACAGATGTCCAGTACACAGGATGTGAAATAGAGGAAGTTGAGACTGGGAAGATTTGGCTGTCTGGATTACAGCAAAACCAGTCCAAATTATATTTTAAAAAATAATAATTTCTTGAGAAATCTCATAGACAGTCTGAGACAATCTTAGTTCAAGTGTCTAGGCCTGGTGATGCAAGTGGGTTAACCAGGGCTGTATCTTTGTGCAAAAAATTTCTTAACATAGTAGTAAGAGGAAGCAAGCCTCCCAGATCAGGAGATTAAAACAACAGGTTTGCTGAAGAGCATGAAAACTCAGGAGGGTACAGAGTAACCATTCATGATTAACCAGCAGCGATTCCCTTAGAAGGAATGCTCTCGAAGAATTATTACCCTACTGCGGTACTAAATAATACACAGATACTTACTACTTTGATCCTGGTTGAACTCCATCACAGTAAGGGCACCAGAATCAAGGCCAGAGCATCTCCCAGCATCCTGATCTTCAGAAGCTTCTTTCTGCAGCGATCTACTGCTATGCAACTGAAGGCCTCCAAAGCTGGCAATTGTTTCCTCGGTGGGAGATGGTTCTGAAAACAAATCCTCTTCAACAGATTCATAATCATCACTAAGAGAGTGTTCTTCCATCCTTTTCTCTTCTAAACTGAGTTCCAAACTTCTTCTCGATTTCTGGTACAATTGAAACAGATTTGTCAGAAAAACTCAAACATGTATTTTAAAATAAATCAATGTGGCTGCCTCTTCCTCATCTACAGAAAGAAAAATCTTCTCATGAAATCAGAGCCATGATTCAGCTAAAAATATTCACATTCCTATGTTTGTCTTCACTCCTCTAATGAGGACTTGTAAAGAAGAATCATCCTACAATTCCTTTGTTCCTTCTCATCGGAATCCTTGCAGGAAAATTCTGTAGGCCAAGGAATTTTTATGTGCAAAATCAATTTTTAGGAATAAGTTACAAACAGGAGGTAAATAACGGAGAGGGCAAGAGTAACTATTTTTCCAGTCTCACACAGTTAGATTACCATATCTTTCAGATGGCTTTCTGAAGGCTAGCTGCAATCCAAATTTTCCAAATGCCTTCCCAAGACTGCAAAGCTAATGTAATAGCAACTTCTCAATAAGCAAGTGGATAGGTGACAATAGTCCTGTCTTGTACACTTCTGTACTTCAGAAATAGTAGAGAAGACTTGTTGCTTAATGGACTAAGCTTCCAGTTCGCACCAATTTTTTTAATTGGACACACTGTAACAGGATTTTATGAAAAAAATTGATCTATTTTGAAATATACTGTGTAAAAAAACTGCCCTGCCTCTCTCAGTATATGCCACAAACAGCACAGATGATGCTGGAGAGCCTTTTGTTTTGAAGAATGTAAAAGGAAAAGACCTTGCATATCTTAAATGAATTTTCTTTCCTGTTTATCTCAAAACTCTAATACCAACGAAGTACAGGTGCACAAACTGTATGAGTAAAACAAAAACCTGACACTATCTCAGGTACAAACAAACTGTGACAGTGTATGTTCAGTTCGCAGTGAAAGCTTCGAGCTGCCCTTCTGTTACAGATTACACTTGTTAGGAAATCCATGTTGACAGAAACATATTACAAAGAGCAGGCAAACAGGTTCAAAAAAGGGTCTATAAGCAACCTGAGGTGTGATATTGAGCATATCTTTATGACAGTCAAGACCAATATTTCTAGCTATTTGACAGGGAATTGTACAAGCTTTCTTTTAGTTTGAAGCCTCATGACATCTGCATTGTAACAAACCACTCAAGAAAATACACTACAGCTCCAGGAAAACCAAAAGTATTTCCATCTGGAACACAATGAAAAGTGGGGTTTTGGTTTAAAATTATTAGCTTACTCCTTACACATAAATGATTATAAATATCCATCAATGATGATAAATATCCATCACTGTAAACAAATTACTTGTTTGTAGAGCAAAAAAAAAATAAATCATAAGCTCAAAAGCAATATAGGAAAGGTAGAAAGATGCAAGCTAGAATACATGCTTGGGAAGCTTGTCTGATGTCAGCAGTAAGATCTATAGACAATTTCATATATAGATGCTACTCCACTACCCAGAAATCCTTTACTGATGTTTTTAATTAATTAGGCAGAAAAAGATTCATAAATTTTTGTTTGTTTACTCTTTTTTTTTTCAAGGAGTGGACATTCGTGAAGTGTGCTAGAATCAACTGCAATCAGTAACCAAATGGAAGGCTGAACTGTCAAACAGCAGAGTTGTTGCAGTAACAACCCTTGATGGAAAGTAACTCTATTGATCATAGTATTTTTAAAACTTTACTCTGATTTCTGTTAGATAAAACAATGACACGCAACAATTTCAGCATGATTATTCAAAAACTGTCTTAAACCCAGAGAAAGTTATTTAAGTTTTCTCTAACCTGGTAGCCAAGAGCAACGTTCATGTCGACAACCACTAAGTGAACTGGAAGAGTCTCCCTGCATGAAATACCTTGCTTCTGTCCAACAGAGACAATATTCTACTTCTTCAAATTAGGACTTAACATGTCATAACTTTTCAAAGTAGTTTTACTTTTTCCTATTCGTTTTTTCTTTCTTTATGTCACATCTCATCACTGCAAAATCATCTAGTGAAAGAAACACTACACACTGGGTTTGCATGCTCTAGTCAAGACCCATATCTGGGCCTGCTCACATTTCAGTTGACACTACCATGAACAATAGAAGGCAACTGGCAATTGTACCTGGGAGTAACAGAGAGGATCATCACCGCTTGTCTCCACACTCAAGCTTTCATAAGGTTCAAAATCCTCAGAGTACTCAAGAGGAGGTTTAATGCAGAGCTTGGCCCCCCTTTCTGTTTTAATCTCCACAGCTTTCTGTTAAAAGAAGCATTGAAAGAAATTAGACATCTTTTGTGCCATCAGCAGTACAAAAAGAATAATCATCACATTTTACATAACAAAATCCAGATCAAGGAACCTTTTTCCCTGTTCCATGGAAGGTTTCTGTCCTCCCTGAGCTCACCTTTGGGCCCCTGCATTATGGTTTAACTGCCCCAGTCAAACTCCTCACCTGCTGCTACTATCCCCAGAACGGGTCAGGCCCAGCACACATCCTGTGTCTGGCACCAAAGTGAGTGCCCATCAGGATTCACACCCCTCACCTCACCAGTAAGTGAAGAAACCATAGGAGCAGGGACATAGCAACAAAATAGCTGAAGTGGAATCCCCCCAAGTGCAAGCATATAAAGAAGTGCTGGTGGAACAGCCTTATGGCGAAAGCTCTCGTGCCCCTTCTGGGGAATTGGCATGCTTGGGTGACTCTCTGAAATGCATCTACAGCACTGGAGAACACATGGGGAACAAACAGGAGGAGTTATAAGCTTATATCTGTTTACAACCTCATTGGGATCACAGAGATATGGTGGGATAGCTCACAAGACTGGAATACTGCGATGGATGGATACAGGCTTTTTAAGAAAGATAGGCTGGTACGATGAGGAGGAGCTGTCATCCTTTATGTGAGAGAGAGCTGGAATGCATGGAGCTCTGTGAAGGAACAGGTCAGAAGCCAGTGGAGAGCTGCTGAGTCAAAACTAGCAGGCAAATCAGCATGAGCACTGTTGAAGTCAGTATCTGCCATAGACCTGCTCATCAGGAAGAAGTAGATGGGGCCCTCCTCAAACAACAGGAAGAATCCACAAGTTCAAAGACCCTGGTCATTATAGGCTACTTTAACAAACCTGGTATCTGCTGGAAAGACAAAACAGCAGGACTCAAGCAATGTAGGAGATTTCTAGAGTGCACGCATGATTGACGAGCCAACAAGCAAAGGTGCTCTGCTGGAGATGCTGAGAAAGCTGGGACTCTTCAGCCTGGGGAAGAGAAGGCTCACAGAGATCTCATCAATTTGGATAAATATCTGACAGGTATCTGCTCGCTGACAGGACATGAGGTAATAAACCCAAATTAAAAAAAATACATGAAATTCCACCTGAACAGAAGAAAAAAATTTACGGTGAGGGTGATCAAATACCAGAACAGGTTTCCTGGAGAGGTTGTGGAATCTCCATCTGTAGAGATACTCAAAACCTGACTGGACATGGTCCTGGGCAACTTGCTTGAACTGGCTCTGCTTGAGCACAAGGATTGAACTAGATGATCTCAAGAGTTCCCTTTCAACCACAATAATTCTGTGATTTTGTCTGTGTACAAATTTGACTATTTGAAATAACTGCAATTTTTTGAAGATGTATTACTTTTCCATATAATATAACAAGAGGGAAATGTTATGCCATAAGCATTCAAGCACAAAGATTTCTTTGCCTTTGTAAATGTCAGATACAGCTGCAGAAGTGGTTCAAATTAATTTGTTTTAATTCATAATTAGGATGCAATCAAAGCATGCACACTGTCAGTTACTCAAGCATGACTAAAGAGGGGTAGAAGATTTGAGAAACTCCTTTTCCCATACCACAGAATTTTAGTACTCCCAAAGATGACAAAAGAGAAAGAAGAAAGTGCTTATACCTCTCTTAAGGAACAAAATTATCTGTAAGTAGCTTTTTTTTCCCCGCTTTGGAACTCCTGTGCAGACATATTCCATAGGGGCAAGTCTCATAAGTGAACGATGGCAAGAGGACTGTTTCATTAAAGGTAATATGTGATCCAGAAGTCAGTGTAATGATATTAAACTTAGTTATCTGGTGTTAATACACTCCTCTACCATTTTGTGAGTGGAGCAGAGATGTCCCAGAGAGAAGATCCTAAGACAACCTGGCTTTTAATAGAACGCATTCTTTCAGTAAGTCTGTCTTCCCACCTCATAGCATACCTTAGCATAGCCTAAGTTTGACAGTTTGGAACATGAATTGCTAGGTCTTCTAGCTATCCAAAAAACCCTCAGGGAAGATTACTAGGAAAGTAAACAGCTGCCTGGGACAACCTGCATCTTACTCAGTGGTGGCACATTTCCTTAGTTAAATAATTCCAATTGTGAATTTGAGTTGTGAAAATGAGTTCAACTAAGCAGTAAATAAAGTAAATAAAGTAATGCAGCCTTAATACTTGAATGTGCAACATTTGCTGAAAGAAAAGAAAACCTGCATGACATGAACACTTGACCTGCAGTGACACAGACTCCTGATCCCCAGTCACTCAAGCACGGACTGGACATCCAGCCAGGGTAACTGCTAATCAAGTAGGGTAATTATTTGGGCGACATGTCTCAGTTATTCAGAATTCACAGTTGTTCTGGCAATTAAGTCACATTCCTTGAGAGGTTAAGCCAGATCCTTCTTTAGACCAAAAGAAAAAAAGACCATTGAGGTTTCTCCAGTGACCCAACAAATACGTAGCTAATGACCCCAAATTTCTTATAGGTAGGGTATTTTTACTATCTATACACATTTTCCTCTCTTCTGATTTTTGAGAATCCATCACAAATTACAACTCAAGCTATGCAAATTACACCTCTGTGTCCCTTAATACTATTGCAGGGTGAAGAATAGCAGTGACGGGCAGGGATGCATCTCCAAAATGACATTCTTCATCCTCTGCACGAGATAAGCCCTCTAGGCTTGCCATCGGAGATGTCAAGCACCAGCTACTCTGCTGGAGGACAGATTGAGCCAATCATGTCAAGGCTACAAAAGTCTCTGTGATGGATGTCACTGAAACCAGACCCTTTTAATGAGATTTGCCTCTCTAGACTTCAAAGTAGACACAAAAGTGGTCAGAGTATCATTTCACATTGTCACTCAGTATCCAGAGCAAACCAAGACTCAGATTCTAGGAGAGTCTCAGCTGCCCACTATCTACTAGTTGCAACCCCTTTCCCCTAAAATTATTTCTGATCTGAGAATAAGATCAAAGATGCATTCTTTCAAACCGTTTCTTACCTGAAGCCAACCTCTGCGTTGTATTTTGCTTGGTGCAGTCTGTGTGCCAGGTTCTTGCAACTCACTCTCTTCTAGCCGCGCTGCTTTTTCAGAACATAGAGACAAAAATTAGAAGACAGAAAATAGAAACACAGTATTTGACAACATACACCTTAGTTTGCGTTCTTTATTTTTTTTTCCTCAGATGAGGACAGAAGAGTAAGTGTTTGACACGTGAACAATATCAACAATTGAAAAGGAATTCCACTTCATATACTAGCTAGTTGTGTATTAGTAGCAGGAGTTTTGAATCTCTTCAGAGACAGTCATCATCATAAATTGTTTAAAGATAGATAGCTTAAGAGCATGTGAAGCCCCACATTCATTGATAGGAAAGTACAGAAATACGTGCTAGAATAGAGGCACGTATCCTTCTAACTCCTAGCTGGGTAGACAATAAGCTGTCTTAGGAAGCCAACTAGAGCACAGAACCCATATTACTGAAGGCAGACTCTGATAGACAGGGTCCTGGTGAACAACACGTGATATGCTGGGTTTATAAAGGGATTGTGTGTATTTACTCTCAAACCACAGAAACACAAGGTACTGTCAGATTAAAAAGACTATATTAGGTATTTAACATACGGTGCAGAGAAGGATTCTTTATGTACAACTCATAAATGAAGAACAAACAACCATTTTCCTTCATTTCTAAGGCAAGGAAGAGTTGATTCCAGAACTTCTGCAAAAATTCTGTGTATGGTCAAGCAGAACTAGAGGCCCCTGGGCTGGAACCAGTTCCAACTTAGAGTGCAACAATGGATTTTTGAGAAGATGCCTTGATTGAGACAAACATCTTCCAGGTCACATCAGCATCTTCAATGGAGCAAGGACATCACCAACCTTCTCAACAGCATCCTAAATAAAGGCATCTCATTTCCTATGTCCAAGACAGATTTACAGCTTCCATTTCTTCTCAGTGGAGAAAAACAGCTGATGCAAAACCTTTTTTCTTTAAGCCATAATTTAATGGTCACCCTAAGCCAGCAGAAACTGGCACTACCAATAAAAGAAGCAGTCGTCCTACAAAGGTCATAGAATCACAGAAAGATTTAGTTTGGAAGGAACCTCTGGAGGTGACCTAGTCCAACTTTCCATTTAAAGCAGGGCTTACTTCAAAATTAGATCAGGTTGCTCATTATAATACATTTTCTTTTTTAGGTTGGACAATGCTACACACACTTGCACAGTGAACTGTTCAGAGAATTGATAAGGGCAAGATTCAACTGAGGAAAAACATCAAAGAAGGATTACTTTTAATTGCAGTCACTCGTGCAATTTTGTTCACCATGAGATCACACAAATGCTGGTACAAGCAGGTAGGAGAGAACAGGCACAGGGTAGGACCATTCCTGGGGGAACAGCATACGCTTTTATCAATTTAGAGGGATCATAAAATTACAGAGCAGTAAGAACAAGAGGTTGTTCTACTGCTTCAGCACAAAGTATCTGTCTCTTATACTGCTTCAGCACAAAGTATCTGTCTCTTAGGCCTGAAACAGGACTAAGAACAGAGGGGAAAATGAATGGACTGATCCAAGGAAGAAACAAGATACCTACTAACTTGTTTGGCGAAACAGTTGGTGCAAGGACTGATCCAAGGAAGAAACAAGATATCTACTAACTTGTTTGGCGAAACAGTTGGTGCAGCTGAGCTGCTCCTCTGTGCTACAAACATTACTTTAGAAGAAAAACATCCTCCTCACGCAATGGATGGGGTGTGAATACCAATCAATACCTGTTTCAGCACACAAAACAGGTCCTCTGGTGTCATTCACTTGGAGACTTGAGCTGACAGTGCCCATTCCAGTAGCCAAGAACTGAGTAGTAGATCATCAAAATCATAATCAAAAGAGACTCTGTGCTACCCTTAAGCCACGTCTTTGTGACCACACCAACATTCACTGGAAGTACATACCTGGTTGTGAAACTCTGGGTTATACACCCAAAGAAACGACAGCGTATCGAGACATCGGTTTCACAACCTTGTAAGCTCATAATTTACTTTAATTCATTTACCAAGCCTAAGCATAAGAAGTTTATCAATCACTACACTCATGAACTAGTCCTAGGGAACACAGGCAAAGAAAGTAGTCCAGACAAATAGATTTATGATGATGCTTTCAGGAACCACAAAGAGGAAATTGTGCCCATTCTGTATTATTAAGTATCACACACTCCTAATTTTTCAGTGAAGACTAATCCTATAGAAGGACGCTTCAGAAGTCATAAATGATGCAATAACTCTCATGAGAGATGGATAGGGAAGAAAATTCAGTGCTGTATCTCAGCTAGAAATCACTTCTGTAAGTAAAATCATATTCAATCATTGAGAAGAAATGCCTAGAAATGAAACAGACCACAAAATTGCTTAGGTACTACCTGCAGGCAAGAAGTTCATACAGATCACCAATGACTCTCACTCTGGACTCTAGTGGTAAAATCAAATGGAAGAAGAAAAATGACAGGATGATGATTTAGTTGCTATCTTTCACTGCAGCTACATGTTTAAAATAACAACATTGAATAGCTAAGAAACAGCAAAACACTGAGTTGCCTTCGGCAGAGATAATGCTACTGTCTCTAAGCTGATGGAGTTGAGGAAGGGAACAAAAATTGCCACTGAAGTCTTTAAAGGTCCCAAAGACAAGCCAAGTATCCCACCTGAACTGAATCACACGGCATTAAGTGACCATAAAAACAATCAGCTTCGGTTAAGCTTAGAGATGGCAGCTGCACAACAGAACTTTAAGAGGAAATTCCTCTTGGCAGAGTTCTACTACAGCTGCTGCCACAATATCCCTGCATAATTTTTGGACTAAAAAGTCAAATACATTGTTTTACACCCTCTTTAGCTACCTAAAGGCATATCATCCCACTGTGACAGAGCACACCATTTCCTTCTTTTTCCAATATCCAGGAACATGAACATTTTTGCATCATTACACACAAGTTTTTACTTTCATATGGAGCAGTGAAACGAGGTGACTAGCTGATTCCCCATCACCATCCCGCATAACCTGCCAGAAATCATGCAGCAGACAGCTAAGCCTGAACACGCTTACACTTGGAAACAAACAGTAGGTACCCAGTGCAGAAGGAAAACAAAGAAAAAAAAGAGATCAAGGTTAGAGGCATGGTTACTGAAAGAAAAGTCAGTTTCTGGTATTGTTGAGATTAATAAACTTTCAATCATAATAAACTACCATATTAAGCAACTTTTTTAACTCTTTGTCTTCATTTTTAAGTGAAAATAAAGCTTAAGCAGACACTACCTACACAGCGACAAATTAAAAAGATACACTCTAAGAGACAGGTAGTAGCAAGAGTGAGGGTAACAGACTAAGGCTGGTAAACTGCTTTACACAGGGATTTAGTGAAATCAACTTTATTTTCATTATGCTAAACAGATTAGAAAGCCAGTAAGCTCACACTTTCTACCTTCATGCACACAAAATTATTCCTGTCACTGCTCTCTATGACTGACAGACAAATTAGAAACCAAATACGCATTTTTAAATAAAGCCAGCTAATCACTGGCAGCAAACAGTAGATTTTCTTTACTTCAAGCATTTAAATAAAGATTAGCTGTCTTTTTAAGATTACTATTATAGCTTAAACATAATGTATGAGCTTAATGTAGCTATTACTGTATATAATTTGATTACAGTCTATGTCATCAAATGCCATTTGTCTACAAGACACCAGACTTAGATAACCAGATCAGATAACACTGTAGTCCATCAGATCTTGAAGTCTACAAATGGTGTTATATATCAGACAAAGGCATTCAACTATTTTACACTGGCAATTTATACGCATTTATCATTTTCTAGCTTTAGTTATAACTGTTTAACGAACGCAGAGGCAAGGAAATCAAACTTTGGGATTAGTTAGGGATCAACTAAGAAATTGATAGGCTGTTGCAGAGACTGTTTCTTACATACAGTCAGCTTAAGTATCCTGATGAAAGAGTCCCATGGAATTTCGTTCCACCAAGCTCAAATGCTAATGTCTCTTTATCACAGCCTGACCAGTAACCTCACCGACTAAATTACAGCTCTGATGGGTAAATGTTTCAAACACTTGTGGACTGCAACCTCTGTAAAACTCTCATGTAACTCACCATTTGTCCTGGTGGTCTTTGTCTCATTTTTTAAGTAGCCATGTGAGCTGATTTTTCTGCGGTAATTTCTCAGCTCTGAATTAGCTCCATTCAGATACAGAGAAAATCCTTGTTCTAACTGCTCCAGTTTGATTTGTATAGGATCCTTTCTTTTTAAACGTCTCAGTAGCCTGAAGTAGAAAGGATAATCATAGAATCATAGAATGGTTAGGGTTGGAATTTATTCTTACACAGTTCATATACAGATGGTCAGATTAGCAATAAATACAAAAACACACGTCACAAAGCTAAAAAATATGTTCAGAGTTCAAGCAACAATTTCAGAATACAGCTTTCAGGACCTGCTCCTGTTCTGTAATGCTTATATGAGTATCCACACGGTGTGACATGTGAAGTTTGACCAAGCCTCTCCCTTCTGAGATTTTTTCCTATGTTGTTTCTCATTTCACATAATTTTTTCCATTTGGTATTTAGTAAATTTAACCTTTTAACAATTATTGAGAATTTTAAGAGTTTTACTTAGAATTTCAAAAAGCTTAAAAATGGTTGAGCTCTTTTCAAGAAAAAAATGAGAAAGAAAAAGATTATTTGTGTTTTGAAACTTGAGAAGGAAAGCTCCCAAACAATAGTGCAGTTAGAGGTACCAGAAACTTGCAGTCTGGTTAAAATATTCTAAAAATGCCCTTCTCCAGGCTGAACTTCAGTGAAACATCCACCCTCTCTCTTCCAAGTCTTATCTTCCCTCCTTGCACCATAGGTTATACTCGTTCCATCCTAATTCCTTTGGTGAGGTGACATGCAGGCCAGGAGTGTGGGGCCATGTGGGTGACAACTTCTGCCTGCCCTGCACGCTGCTTCCTGGTTTCCCTCTGACTCCAGGGTGAGTCAATCCACAGGCCAAAGTTCCCCAGGGGTGTACCTGTTCTGACAGGAGTGGCATTTGTTTCCACCAAAATTCATATTAGAGGTCATATAATAAGGATGGAAGTTGTTTCAATCATTAAATAATTCATTTTTATCCTTTCCTAAAACTGCTTCAGGACATTATATACAAAAGAAAACCGCATTTACAAAAATTGGCTGTTATTCTAACACAACTTTGGCTTTCGCAATTTTTTTGTCTTTTCACCAAACAATTCAGTTTGTTATAGAATTCGAGTAAAAACCTTATGGCTGTGGTAAAGGAGAGAATCCAGCAAGTTCTGTAGACCCTTCTAAATTAACCTATGAAATTAATCTGTCTAGGGTACAATGACAGGAATGTTCATATGAACAAAGATTAAAAGAAATGTTTTAAACTTGTCTGAAAGACGCTGAAGTTTGCAAAAGCAAACCTAGATGTCCTTATCTCCCACCTTAGCAGGACCTGACTTGGCACATTTAACTTTACCAACTTTTGCAGGCAATTTTCTTTATTTCTGACAAAACAAAAACCTTGCCTCGTAACAATATCCTCACACAGTGTGAGCTGCCAATTACTTCTGAATCTAGAACCTTTCACTCTGTAAACAAAAATTTCCCTGCAAGCCACGGAAACAGTAACTATTTTATTAATAAATTTATCTCTGTTTTAAAATATGCTGAAGAAATACTGCGTTCTCCTCTAGAAGTAAGAACTTTGAAGTACTTAGCAAAGAAAGGGAAGAACAGAGAATCACCCGAATGCCTTAAGACACAACAAGTCAGACTTTGTATCACAGCTCACATTCACAACTGCTGATATTAGATATTATGTTGGGTAGTACACAACAGATATTACATACTCGATGGTGGTTACAATTCTGCCTCTTACCGGTTTCTCTGCTGAAGGGATATTAAGTATTCGTCATGTTTTTCATCAAAGTCAGTCACCATGTCTTCAATATAAAGCTGAAACAAGAATATAATTGTCACACTGAAGTATAGAAACGCTTCGTTATAGAGTATTACTGGTTTTGCACCCTTGGTAGACAAGAACGCTATAAACTGCAAAAAGTTCCTTCTTTAATAAAGCTTAAAACTGTCACTGCAGTAAATAAAGCTCCTGAAGAACAAAGGAAACATTACTTGTTTTACTTGTGTTTCAGAACTCTTCACAATCTACTGCAGAGCCTAAAAACGCTAAAAAAGGCAGGCATATGCCATAAGGGGTTTACAATCCAAGACCTGGCAAGCACAAACTGAAAGGGCGAAGCCCAAAGCCCAACTCTAGGATGATTTCCCTGAACTGTTACTGCTCGTGCAGCCCGTTAATTCCAGAACTTGTTCACTGCAGAGGCTGTACGCGTTTATCAAAGATTTAACTGAAGATTTTACCTTACTTGCCTTTCAGAAAACAGCAACTTTTCCAGCAACTCCCCCCCCACACCCCAGAGTTGTCGCTGCGAGCTGTGGCAGCGCGCCCTCTCACAGGCTCAGAGGTTTAAACTTGCCACCAAAACGCTTCCTTTAGTTCTGTGCCAAAAGAAGGAGGCTCCGTGTTTCGTCCCTTACCGATCGCACAGCGTCTCTGCCCCTTCCC